TGACAATGTTTCATTTGTAATCTCGTTGTTTTCGGAAAATATTTACTTGCGTTGATTTGTTGAACTTTCTGACTTGTCTGCTTTTTGACTTGTTAAAGGCAGCTAACATTGCTTTTTCTGACATTTCTATTGGAAATTCAGTCTCTGCCGCATACTATCTTGATAAGTTTATATTTCAGTTATCCAGTTTTATTATTCTGGATGAAAGCTAACTTTCTAGTAATCTTGTGAACTTCTTCTTCCAGAGAGTGTGCTGACGTCTTCTGATGCTCAGCATCCTACACTTGGCTAAATTCCAACAAACTCACCAAGAGATAGGTTTTATTGGGATATGTATCCGATTGACCCAGTCAAACACAATTTGATACACTAGATTTCATGAAGTGAGTGTGAAGTCATGTACGTGGGTCAACGCTTGTACTCTTGAGGTCCTACCATACGAGAAAGGTTTGTTGGATAGTGATTAGACAAAAAGCAGTTACCGTTATCGTAAAAATTATTACGCTATGATAGGGGTCTGAGGGCGAAGTCGTACTGCTAACTGAAAGGAGGTTTGACAATAGTAAGATGTTTCGCTTAGATGACCAGCAGTGCCACGCTGATTCTACCTTTCCTATGGAAAGGGTGGAGAGAAAAGATCGACATGAAAAATAACGGTGGAGGATTGTCGCTCTTTCTGGAGTATCTCTTTCGACTCCGATTACGCGCTAATGTGGCCTCATTTACGTCTGCCTGCGACTTACAGGTCGCAGAAAACAAGTGAAAGTAAAGCCTCTCTATGCTCAATTGGTGGGTGAGGACGCCAAGTACGCATTAAGAGAGGAGTTAGCTAAGCATTTATCTGAACGTGATGGCAGTGCTCATCCTGAGGAAATTTGGGAAGAAGTTCAGTATGTTGTAGAAACAGCGGTAAAGACAATTAAAAGCCGACAGTTGGAGGTCGGCAAACATCATTGGGTTTCCACGACGTCATCGGAACTGATTGATACGAGAAAACTGATTTCAGCTGGCTGTGACCACAATAAAGAGCGAAAGCAACTTTAGCGTAAGTTGCCCAAAAGTGTTCACAATGATCATTAGCAGATGTGGATGACATAAACGAGAGAGATGAAGAAGGTATCAACGTCGGGTAACACCAGGAAACTAGTTAGGCTTATCAAGGATATAGGCAAGAAGAAAACGATGGTTAGTGAAATCATCACCCAAAAGGATGGTGCTCTGGTTACCTCCCAGGACAGACGGTTGGAATGATGGGAAGAATACTTTGAAGCCCAGTTCAATTGGCGCTCAACAACGCTTAAGTTGCCTAACATTCAGCCTGAACCTGAGTGGCGCGTACATGTCGGTTCTCTAAATCTCTTTTAAGTTGAGGAAGCTGTTTCGAATATGAAATGATGCGAATCAGCAGGACCTGACACATCGCTACTTGAAGTTTTCAAGGATGGAGGTTGGAAATTGCTAACCAAAGTGATGGAGGTAATATGTTGTGTATGGGAATCAGAGGCAGTTCGCTCAGGCTGGTTGACTTCACTGATCACTGCAGTCGATGAGAACAGAGAAAAGTCTTTCTGTGATGACCATGGGGCATTAATTTGACTAATACTGTGTCCAAGATCCCAGGATCCATGAAGGTTTCAAACATAGGTGAACGAGGGTGCATCAATCATATTTTCACCCTCCGACGGGTCCTGGAACGCAGGCATTATTACTGGTGGCCAAAACTTCCAATATTTATTGACCTGAAGGTAACATTCAACTCCATGCACTATGAGATGCGGGAGTGTCTGACTGCGAATGGAGTACCGAGGAAGTATGTAACAATAATCAAAGATCTTTACTAAAACTGACGCAGCGACGTAGGTGCTTATGGAGAGTCATCATCAGAATTGACGACAACATGGGATGCCTACTGTTTTTATTTAACTTCGTCATTGTCGTAAGCTTAGGTAAGTTTGACGTCATAGGGATTGATCTACTCCTTGGAGGTCATGTGGTTGACTTGGAGTATGCAGAAGACATTGTCTTGCTAGGTGAAAACGCTGACAGAATGGAGGGTTTTCTGAACGCATCAAGCAGAAATATGAGTATTATTCGCATACGTCTCGCCCCTGTTAAATGTATAATGCTCCAGGACTGGTCTGCTGCAAGTTCCCCCAGTTTAACTATAGAGAGTGAAGTGGTGCAATATGTCGATCACTTCACCTACCTGGAAAGTTGCATCAGCCAAAACGGGCTGCTTGCCGACGAAATCTCAGGTTAAGTGTAGAAGGCTCGTTTAGCACTCGCCAACTTGAGTCACCTGTAGCGCCGACTGGCGGTTATCTATCAAAAGGCGAGTATACCGTGCTGATGTTCATTCTGTCCAGTTGTACGGCTGAGACAAAGCTGTTAAAAGTAGAAGGCATGAAGCAATTATAGGGTTTTCGTCGCACATGTCTTCGTAGCATTGCACGCGTTTGGTGCATACTAACACCCCAATGATTGACGTATATTACGTAGACCCTTTTTGAAGATGAGTAAAATAATTAGTTCATTGTAGAGTGACAGGACACTTTCAGTCAGTCGTACCTTCTCAAAAACAATGTAACCATTTTCCTGGTTAGTGTCACCCCGATCTTTAAAAAGAATAGGGAGTAGATTGCTCGGGATGGCTGTCTTATTGACTTGAGAGTTCGGAGGGTGTTGGCAAGAAGCAAGTGATCTGTGCAAAGCTGCCGAAGACGTTTCGCATTATCTGACCTTCAACTAGCTAAACCCATTTGGCCACCTAAACGATCCTCCGAGTAGCCTAGACGACCAACTTGTTCATTCACGTCGCCAGCTAGAAATACTATATACGTCGAGCGCACCTGGTAAAGGTCACTCAATGAATGGTGGAACTTCATTGCAGTCGGGCTTCAGTCAGTCGGCGAATAGCAGCAGACGAAAAAGAGTCCAATCTTTCCTTGCCAGTTACTTCCCACTGCAACCGAACCCTGTATCCTAACAGCACACATACAACTATTGACGGGATGCAATCGATCAGTATCGAATCGGCTGTAGAGCTTGGTGAAGTACTGACATCAGCAAGGCCTGCTGTTGATGTCAAAAAACTCTTAACTAAGTACGATGTGAATGAAATTTTTGTGCAATTAGATGGGGAAATTATTCAAAGTACTTTTTTAGGATCATGAGTACGGGTCTGTGAGAAATAGCATACATCGGTAGCAACGCTTCCTAAAGTCCTAGTCAGACTTGTCTGTTGTTTGATCTCCATCAAGGTCTGAATGTTGAAGATTGTCAGCTTATGAAGTATATTAACCAGCTATTATTTACCACTCATAAGATTCAAGGCTACTTTAACTCAATTGAAGTCCCATTTATACGTTACTGAGATCAGGAAATCTATGGAATATGATAATAGGCATTCAATTTATTGAAAAGTAAAATTTGCCGGTACACTAAATCTTCACCCTGAAATCTACAGTGATGTGTACTTTGTATTAATACTTGTGTAAGACTGGAGAAAAAAGACTTATGAAAACCACACTCGGTGTCGAAAGCCATTGTGAAATGGTTAAATACTCTACAAATCACCCATCAACTATATACCTAGTTTGTGATATCACTATTTCATCCAAGTCACCTGAAAAGTTTTGCTTTATTTACCGCTGTAGTTAGTTGGTGATCTGAGAATGAAACGAGAACAATAGTATCTTATTATTTCATGAAATAAAGTTCTTTAACCTAGATCTATAGAAATGAGAATTCAAGTGAATTATGATTCATAAAAAAAACAAGTGTTTGTCCAGCCATCCAAGATATTACTTCTTAGCTGATAATGGACAAAAGATATTCTGAAAGGTCATTAATGTAAATTAGTCAAAGATATTGAAAAGAGGATCCCTAATAAATGAAGCAGTGCTGAAGTACGGTAAAAAAAACATAAGTACATTGACTGGTCACTAAAACTAAACAACCTAATATTAACTTGACCTTAGGGCTAATCGGGTTCGGTTGAAGATGGTTGCAGTGTGGTGACACAATTAGCTGGTCTGACACCCAGTTAACTTTGATTACATCCACAAGAGTCTCAGATATACTTTTTCGTTATACTTGGAAAACAGATATTGAGTTAGTTGGACGTGTCACTTGGTTGCTTTAGGAAAGTCAAACTATCACTAATAGGTACTTCGCAGGTGAGAAAAACTTTGGGAGGAATTTCAAGAAGGATAAACAAACACAACATTGGAGCTCAGACTTTTAAGATAAGCCAAGTACACAGATTATATGAGTCATGCTATGTTTAGATCTTAATATGTGAACACTACAGAACGGAGACACAATAGAGTTTGGGGGTTGGGATTATTTACTAACTTTTTTCGAGCACTGGTAGTATTTTATGAAATCAGTCGGTCAGCAATTTTCAAGCAAATTGAGAACTATTACCGTAAGAGATAGTTACTGAACAAACAAAAACTTACCATATTTTCGCTCCTTGAATTAGTTGTCTAGTTTGAAGTACAGAGCTGATCATATCAGAAAAATGACAGAGGATTCACAATGCTTAGAGACAAAAATGAAATGCAGAATGGTGGAGTACATTTTAGTCAGTGCAAACTAAACTCAATCCAGTCATCAACCATGGTAGGTATAAGAAAGTAATAAATGAATAAAAGCAATTTATTATAAACTGAAAAGTCAGTGATAATACATATCTGAAATAATGATTAATTTAGGTGCCCACATGTAACATAAATTAAACTAAGATTACAGAAGGATCTGTATAAAAGTAACCAGTCTTAAATAAAAGGAATTAGAATATAGACGTGTAGTAAAACAAAAATTCAATAATACTAACGGTAACATTTCAAACATGGTCATGGAATTCAGATATGAATAGACAGAGAATCTTAGTAAACCAGTTTTCTTTGTCAAAGTAAAAACTAAATCAATCATATTATACATATCACTGCAAAGTTCAATGTATGTATGGGTGTAGTAAAATTGTATATTTGCACTTAGTCACTGACAGCATTATCAAGATCAGTTTCTGAGGATTCAGATAATGCGTCATTTGCCAGCGGTGACCATGGTGGACGTAAATACTCACTCGCCAGAGGAGTACAATGTGTTCCAGGTGATTCAACATAGTACTGAGATACCTTGAAAATAAGCCAACATTTTTATGCAGACGTTAACAATGAAACAATTATGATTAGGCTATAATAATAATAATGATAATAATAATAATAATAGTGATGATGATAATAATAACAAGTAGTATTTCAAACACCATGGTGTCTGATTTGTTCTTTTTTCACCAGTTTAGAAATACAACACAGAGATTACGCGTATCTCATTACTAACAGACTAGAAGAAAGTTTGCCTCAATATTCAGAGAACTGTCAGCACTCATAAATATTTATTAACCATAAAAATACCATCAGTTTTCAACTTTATTTGTTAAAAGAAACCCCCACCAACTAACCATTCTGTCTTCAACGATCTATTGACTAGGGAGTTTTGCGTGAATTTTCTGATGTTTGTGGATAAACGTTACTTGACCATAATAATGCTTGCGTACCACACCAACTTGAAAATACTGCAATATAAGCCACAGCTGATATACAGTGATGATAAGTTTATCTTAATCCATGATTCAACGGTTAATAATCATATGCTCAAAAACCGACAAAATCAGCTCATCTTTATTTCCCAGCTTTTCTTCAGCTGCTAAAATTAGTAACATACTTTGTGCTAGAACCGAGGTATGGGCAAGCTCACATGGAACACATGTCAAGTAAAGAATGTTAGTAATAAAAATAACCGTGATAACACTTGGTCATATATAAGTAATTGAAAAGATTATTTTATATGTATAATACATGCAGTGCAGAAGTCGGTTTTACGTACAGATATATTACACAACTGAGAAATGTATACCTATATTAATACCGAAGATACTGTTGGGATAAAAAGACCACATTTATAATTCTTACGATATAGAGAAGCATATTTCTCTTCACATCAGTTTCCGTAATCTGTTTACCAAGTTTTGATGGAAATAAACCACGTGTAGGGACAGATACAGGAAGAGTTGGTCGTGAATCTGATCTACTTTGTCTATCGAGTGCTTCATCTTTTAAATAACTTGTGACAAGTTTACTGTAATGTTCTGGAATACAGTTAAGTTCGTTAAGTAAATTGCCTGTAGAGAGAAAAGAAAAAAATTGCGTACAGTAAGATTCAAGACCACACAGTTATGCAGAACACATAAGAAAACTTAATATACGTAACATCTAAGCCCTTCTTGAAGTAAATCTTATGTGTCATGTATCACACTGTGCTATCATTTGTGCAAATAAATATTCACGAAAAATATGAATAAAATTAATGTACCCCAAACTAATACCGGGGTTTATGTTCCAAATAATGAGTCACACTTACGTGAGGATTTATGATACTAGCAAGCATAAGTGGAGTGAGGTTGGAACGGAGAACCAATTGCTTGAAAGTCAAATGTCTAAGCAATAAGCTAAATTTCCATTAAGTTGTGTCAGTTATAGAAAGAAACATCAGATAAGACTGATCACAGCTTTCTTACCACAGTTAGTTCACAATGAGAGTAATAAAATACGATCGTTTGAATGCATTTCGGACATGAAAATGTTTTTTTAACATTCAACATTTTACACCTACAGTTTACAGTTCTCCCACATTTACACCTACCTTTACAAGCCCTGTTTAATCGACAATATTTTCAACCGCTCACCAACTTTTACTAAAGGGTCAGGTAGATGAAAGTGAATTTTAGGTTTCTTGAATCTGTGAGAACTACCCATCTAATCGAAAATTGTGTTTCTAGTGATGTCTCCTTTCTCGAGCATTTTCCTAACACAGGTAGTCTGCATTCAATCTAACAGTATCAACTGAAATGAATAAACACCACTCTGCTGGTTAATTTCTGGGAAGTAAAAGCATCTTTATAAAGTCCATTGGTGAATTATACAACCAAAATAGTGTGAAGAAAAATCACTTTTTAGTTTATTTCTCGCTCATTTCGTTATCAGATAATGCTACATTAATACTATGCTTTTTACAACAAATGAAAACGTGTTATGAAGCATATCTTGTTGTTTATCCATCCAGTACATTTACATTTAAATATAACACAGCTATCAGATAAGGTGCTACGATAAAGGTCTGAAAGTTTTAGCTAAAGATTAGTGTACAAACAAGTGTAGAATGAATTCACTAACCAACAAATCAATATTACACTCACTCAAAAAAACCCTCATGCTTTTCTCATTTTCATGAATTTAAAAATTTCACTGTTAGTTTGAATATAATCATGATGAGAAACTAGAATCATTAACTTTAGCACACGAAGAAAATTACAGGCACAACGCCCGTTCGTTGTTAAAAAGAGAACCGTTCATATGCAGTTAAGTTGACACAATTGTAGGAATTACAAAATTTCACCGAAGATATATTTATAAAGGTATTCTATGCAGTCAGTCTGAATGCAGAAAATAACTGGGAACTTCGAAACCAATCTGAAGGACCTTAAATATATCCTATCGAAATAACCACTTGGTTAAAATTTACGCTCTCATTTTTCTGCACAAAAATACCGTGTAGAATCACTAACCTTGTTTGAAAAGCAGTTGGTAGTTTAGTTCATTGTGAAGCGTTCAGTACTCCTAAGTTTGGGGGACTTAAAAGGCTACCCTAGCAACAATCGAAATAACCAATTAGGTTTCTTGATTTCATGTGGAAAGGCAGACCTCACAAAATAGAGCAGTTTGACTGGTTATTTCAGTTGTTGCTAGGGTGGGCTATAAAGTCACTTCTAAGTTTGATTCACTGAATATGAACTGGGCGGTATTTCTTTTTCTTTTCGGTTCTAACGTCTTCTGTCTCAAACCCCCTTTTCTCAAGATACAATACTTCTATGCAATTCATAGGCAGTTATCTGACTGATCTTAAACGATTTTTCGTGAAATGAGTATACCACTGCAGTTTGGTAAACGATGACAACAAACGATATCAAAGTTTCAGTACTTTGGGTCTAAGAAAATGATATGACAAGTGTTTACAAAACGATCACTGGTGTTAATCAGAACTTGGGGTCGATGACAAAACGTTAACAAATAAAGTGTGTACTCTTGGCATGAATCATGCTCTGAAGTCACTTTGGGCTGTTTCTTTAGCACATGAAAGACACAAATAACAAGTTGCATCCATCAAACAGCGTAGTACTGCCAATCAAATAGTGTGAAATTCAAAAGTATTAGACTTTAAACCATTAAATTTAACTTGCACCAGACCATACAACTAGTTTTTTGAAACAACATATACTGATCAGAATTGCTTAATATTTGTACGAATTTATCCGCTGAATATAATAAATTGGGTTTCATGTCTCTGTGTTTCAGTCTCAGTGGGAACAGTATCACCCATTAAGGTGCAGGTACATCCAGCTGACAAGTCCCGAATAGAACACGATCCACGTCTTGGATCCACTACTGATCATCAAGTACACCACAACATAATGAATATTCAGGCATCTCCATAGGAGCCCATCCGCCAACAGAGGTCGAGTAATTCGATCCAGCGTAACAACAGGAGACAATAAGTATCAGTAAATAAAAAGCGCAATCAAGTTTTGTAGCAGTCCATCATAACCTGTCTATATGTTACGCTTAAAACTCTAAACTATCTTCTTATCTTCTGATAAAATTGGTTTGTCAACGTCTGTATTTTACTAAACCTATAATCATTCTAGATCATTCAGGATAATTTCATGTTCCTTCTGCATTCTTATATATATAGTATACTACAGAATAGTTCGATACTATTTGGTAAACGTTATGACATAAATTTTGTTTATGGTCACATTAAATTGAACCGTCACGGAATAAGAGGGTAAAACTTCAAAAATTCTACTGATCCCTTGAATTTCTATTCCCCTGTAAAGCTGACCAAATCTAAGGTGTGATATAAACCCAATTTACACGAAGATGAAGGAATACAAAAGTCGTCTATTTATGAATTCCTGACGCCATTCACCGTTCCAATCCTGGTCAAGTTACTCTACGTGAATTTTCACCCTAATCTCATTTAAATTTGCATGTTTTGTGGTTTACTACGACAAAATTACCTTTCTAACCACTGGGATTTTACCTAGTTTAGTATCTTCAAAATCTACAACAGAAATTGAGACCCTGTTAGGTATGCCTGCGATACAAAAATGTACATGATGGTATTTTCAATCTGTTACTTCAGAAACCTAGTCATTTTTCTCGTAAACAAAGTATGTGGTTGCGAAGAAAATTCGAGAAAATAAGAATTTTTCGTTAGAGACTCATTAGGGTCTACCGCTGAATGCAACACGTTACACCAATGAACATACGCACATTGAGTAGCAACCAAGATTTGAAGACATAGTGATCTCATTCTCGATAATAAATCAACTTCGCTGTCAGCAAGACAAAAGGCACCAGGCTGCAAATCTTTAAAACTACAGAACTAATGACAATTAGAATTAAACAACCTCAGTTGTATTTCGAAAAAATATGTGTTGTCATTACAACTGCCTTTATCTGAATAACGATTAGCAAACTCCTAAGCGTCCTACCCTATACGTCGTAAGTTTCGGCTTTCACACTGTAGATATCCCCTAGTCCCATTAGTCTGAAATAACTTTATTACTCTCTTAGCCTATTTTGTTTCGTTACACGATTGATATCTTAGTAAACTGGTTTTTTCCAAATTATCCATCTTTGTTTATCGCACACAAACTCACCTACTGTTTTTATTCGACTATTTTTATCCCGTTTTATACTCAGACCCCACAACATTTCATTCCTCCTCGACTTATGGTAGGCTTTACTCACATGAATTTGACCATCAAATTTACTATGATTCATTTTCACTTTGTAGTGTTACATAACACATGAAGTTATTTATATAATCAATTATTTTCAACCGAATTCCAGTAATAATTGATTCTCACATTATCTGTGACATGAGACTTTTTTGAAGAGAGTTCACAGACTACACATTACTAAGGAATGGTTATCAGAAATCTCACTGTTGTTAGTGTAAAATTAAACCCTATGAAGACACAACTGTAGAGCCTGAAGAAGTTATTCAAAAGAACATTTTTTGTTACACTATTGTGTTGAATTTGGTTATTGTAGTAGAATGTATTTCCAAGTTACATTAGCCTGTTTGATATGGCACACAATGATGACGTTTCCAGCAGAATTTATTGCTCATATCCAAATCCAATACTCAGATTTATGCAATTTATGGTTTTTCTGTCAGAAAGCAAGTCAACAAACAACATTCCTTGTCCATTCAAGTGTCTTTTGAATCGCAATAGGAATGAAAACAATTGTAATTGGTGGTTTCATCGTTCAAATGATTTCAAAAAGTTTTCACTATGGAATAAATAGGAAAACTAATTTGATTTTAATGTATTCCAAGAAGCTACAACTAAATAACTTTTCAGTTTCCATTTGGGACTAGCTTCGAAACCAACTACTTGAAGCTTTGATCAGAAGCCATGTCATGTGAGGTCGACAAAGTAGCGTGTGAAGATAAATATTCACCGATGGCATGGAATAATGACTTTACTATGCTGTGAACTGATGAATTTCGCAGAACGTGGATTAATGGATTCCAACTGAATTGTTAAATGATAACATGGTTGCCACGAAAATTGAGGGTTCTGCTCCCGATCTCATACGGGGATACGCACTGCTGAGTAACTTCAAAATAGCATGAAATATCTGTCCAGTGTCACTAGGTTTCCAATGGTTTTTTGATTGATATCAAACCATAATGATAACTACTTTAAAATGAGGTATTCCCTAAACTGTTAGTCTTCTGGTATTATCATGTTGTTAGATATAAAAAATTGCTTTCCTACTCACATGGGGTCACGAAAATGGCAAATTACATAGCAGTATAAAAAGCTGAAACTAGTGAAGAACGAAACAAAAAGCACACTTATGGGTGAAATGAATTTCCAAATTCGTGATGATAGGCGGCATGAGGTACATGTTTATCACAAAAGACAACTTGAAAGATGATAGATAAGTTCAGTTACAATCTGACTATCAGTTTTTTATTAAAAAGACAAGGTAAATAAATTAAACAGTACTTCCTTTCAATTCTGAATCCTTCAGTTCAAAACAATGTTTGAAAATAACTTACGTTGTTCTTGAGCACTAAGAGACAAATACAATCCAAGGATAGATTCATTTTCTGAAGTCATCAAATACGGAAATCTATGGAAAACAGAAATTATATCACCATAATTCAAGACTTTAATACTCATGACAACAAATAAAAATGTAATGCACTAATTTTACTACAGTCAATACAAGCAAAGTGGTTTATCAAAAAGGGAACAACTGAGCTATATGTAGTTTGTGAAGAAGAACAATACTACCTAAGGCATGTATAAGTAGATGGTGATGGTATGAATCAAGGTGTTAAAGGTTAAGTGGTCTACTACAAATATAAGTGAAATTCGTAAAACAGATCATAAGGTTTCAGTTTGACAAGTCACTATTATTCGTATGAAAACAACTCCATGTAACTTTAGGCATGAAAAACTACGGTACATACCAGTGAAGTCAGAAAACCATGAATATTTATTAGAAAATACTTAAATTAGTAACCCAGGGATTAAGGCAAACACCTACAGACAATTGCATTCTGCGTAAAGACATTCAACTTTGGCCTTATATTATAAAACCTTCTGCACTGATGTAACTAATACCCAATGATCAGCTGACTGAAATGAAATACTTAAAAACCAGTCAAATTTCAAATACTTCTTCCGCTCACATAAAGCAGATGCGACGAAATGTCTAGTAAAGTTTCACTTATTTCATTTATTTATTAGAAAACAAACATAGTACAGCAAGGGCACCAAGAATTGAGCTACATGAAATAATAAAACACTATTTTGAAGACAAAAGCAAAGGAAAATGAATATGAAAGAAAGAAAGAAAAACAATAAGAATAGCAGCAGAAAATAGAAAGAAGCTACAGCATGATCACCACCGGTTTCGATTCTGACCCATATCTGAAAACGTCCAAAGCTACTGAGTTTCCTGATCTCTTGGACTCCACCCAGGGAGTCGCGAAGCACCAATGGATGCTAACGCGATACAACTGTCTTTCATCCCACGCCACCATCTCATACACTGACTACCTTTCTGCTTCTTCCACCCAGTCCCAGGGCTAGCAAACAATAAACAGAATGGAAACCGTTAGGGCGACATGCGTAACACATGTCCAAGCCACCGAAGTCAGTGTTTCCAGATAACTGCCTATTGAATGATGATCTCCATCATGCCCGAACACATCCTGTCATACCTCAGAATTACTTACATAGTGTTGTCACCGGATACGAGAAATACTACGGAGACAACGACGACTGGACATACAGAGTAGTCGCACATCCACAGGTCTGAGAGACCAGGTTTCACACCCGTGGAGCAGAACTCCTCGCACAGAAGTGTTGTAAACTAGACCTTTTACGGTCAGACTAATGTGGCCCAGATTAACCTATGCCACTCTGGCTTTTGATATGTGGTTAGGAATTTCATCATACACCTCAATCAGCATACACAACTACCCAGCTAAATGAACTTTTCGACTACTTCCAACGGCTCACCACCAAGGGTGAGCACAGGTACAGGCTCCTGTCAATCTTGCAAAAGTACTTTGCACTTCATTGGTGCAAAGCACATGCCATACGTACGGACCCTAATCGCCCACTGATTAAGTGCGGCTTCAGTGGCCTGTGTTATCACACAGTATCACGATATCGTCCGCATATTCAAGATCGAATAGCCGTTCTCAGGGTAGTAGATCCACACTACCATCACACATCTCCTTCATACCTGTGTCAAGAATGTCATCGATGACAAAGTCAAGAAGGAATGGAGAAATCAGGTAACCCTGCCTAATCCCACTGCTAGTTTGGAAGGATGGGCACAGGTGGTTGTATGCCTTCACTCCACCGGAGGTGTTTTCTTATATAGGGCTTTCCAGATGTTAAGAAATTTCTCAGGCACGCCCCTCACCAACAGAAGATTCCAGAGCACAGCTGTCCAACGAATCGCAGACACCCATAATGTCAATAAACACAACGATAGTTGGCTTGCAATACGTGTGGCGATGTTCGAGCATCTGGAGGAGGGTAAACACATGATGAGTGCATCCACGACCTGAACGGAAACTTGCCTGCTTCTTGTGAATCATTTCCTCACGTGTTTTGCAGTGTGCGAAGTATGGTAGCAGCCAATATTTTCGACGCGACCCCGATGATTGTCACATACATTACATAGACCCTTTCTAAAGATGGGTGCAATGTTGGCCCCATTTCAAAGTGGTGGAACATACCTTTTCAATCAGTCTGGTCAGTTTCTTGACTAGAGTCGTCCTTCCATCTTTAAAAAGAACCAGAATAAGTTGTCTTGACCAGGTGTTCTGTGGCGTCTCAGGACTTGGAGTTCCTTACGGACCTCTGCTTCATTAGGTGGGTCAGTATTAGCCGAACAGAGAGAGAGCGACACACCGAAACTGAGGATGCTGCAAGAGTGCGTCACTTAAACTGCTTTTTGAAGTACACCATCAAGCGTCATGGGCGTCTCTGAAGAATGTTTATCGCCGTACCATCTACCTCACAGACCGTCTCATTGACAACAAGCTTCTAGCTGCCACTGGCTTGGATAAGTTGGAATACTTCCGACTATTGGCCGATGGGGCTGCTGCTTCCAACTCACTGGCGCTTTCTGGCCACCAAGGCCCGTGTTTTTTGAGTCAGCGTTGAGTGATCTTTCATGTAAGAGAATTACCCGGACCATTGAACTCGCTGTCCGCCAAAATAGTCCGACGGGCATCAAGAAGTTGAAGGTAGCTCCCGGAGACCCAGTGTTTATTAGTGAGGCATTCTTCCAAGCCGCAAGTGGCTCCACTTGACATTTTTATGACATCTTGCAAGTGCAGCTAATGCTCATCTACAGTATCTAAAGGTCGGTAACTAGCCTTAAATATAGCTTCGATTGGTATTTAGCTACAGTGCAAGGTGCAACTAATTCGCTTGCATCGACCTGTTTAGTGCGATGGTTTTGATGATCACCAAAACACAAGATGAGCTTAGTACACACTAACGCATGATCAGAGTCCAGACAAGCACTCCATATGCAGCGGCAGCCCTTTATGCACCCACAACATCGATAGCTGATCGTAATATGATCTGTTTGAGTCCAGGCTTGAGTGGGAGGACGCCAAGTAGCATGACGGCGATGGCTGTGTCGGAAGTTGGTGCTGGCTTGAAATAGGTTGCGATCTACGCAAAGTTGCAGAAAACGATCTTCGTTATCCGACGTGCGACCAACCAAACTACATTGGCCACCTAAACGACTCTGCCGTGAGCCTAGACGCCCTACTTGCGCATTTAAGTCGCCCAGCTAGAACTGCATTATCTATCGAGCGCCACTGGTTGAGAAGCTCACTCAGTTGATGATAGAAATCATCCTTGGTTACATCCGGGCTGCAATCCGACGGAGCACAGGCGATGACAAAGAGAAATCGTTCCTCATGCCGTTTAATTCTTGCTTGAGATGAGCCTTTTATTCTAACACTACACAAGCGACTGTTGATGAGGATCCAGTCGAGTAGTACAGTTTTGACTTTAATGCTCAGTGCGACACTAGTGAAGCCGGCTGCCGATGCCACAGGGTCTCCGGATAAGTGCACATGAAATATACTTCTCGAGCTGACTGATGAGGAATTTATTCGAAGCACTTCACTGGGATCTTAATGCAGGTCTCTGAGATGCAGCGTACATGAAAAGCGAAGATTTTGAGAGTTCTAGCCAAACCTGTCTATCATCCGATCTGCATCAAGATGAGAACATTGAAAGTGATGAGCTTAAACGGTACGCGTGGTTTCACGATAGTTGTGTCAGATATCGTACTGGAGGACAGCTTTATGGGAGTAACTATGTAGCGACTCAAAACGGTACAGTCAGACCAGAGTTCTAAGTAATGGAGAGGATATTAGTGAAGTAAAGATAAAGACAAAAGTGAAAATGATAATAATAATAATAAAACTATACAGTTCATATGTAGAAACAACAAAAATTATATAATGACAATAAATTGAAAAATTAGTTGCAGTGTTTGCAATGCAGAAGGCTTGGATACTTGCAGGAAAATTAGGTGGGCGTTTCAAAATTTTCATTGTATACTGTAATTTCATATTTTGTGTGAAGGATGGGATATTGCCCGGGCGCCCAAACTGAAGCAGGTGATTGTTTTAGGGGGTCACTCCCCGAGTCTAATCCACAAGGCAGTAGAGCGATATCAGTAGCTGTATTTCTATGGTTGCCGGTGACCAAAATAGGTCCATATGCTATTCGTTTCATTTGGAGCCCATATGCACCATTGGTGTGCAATTAGGGCTTTCCAACTAACTTAGGTGGACCATCGGTATCCCCCAGTCTGGTAATAAGTGCCGGACATTCGCTTTTGCCTTTCCACTTTTGTGAAAACGTCCCCACTACGTGAAAGTAGTGTATAGGACTTCTCTGACAGAGGCTGTGAACGCATACCAGAGCATTTGCTTTCTGTCATAAAGAAACGTTTTGATTATCTGCTAGATGACACAGGAGTGTGATCTGGAACTGTTAGCTAAACAGGATTGCCCGTGAAAATTTCATAAACATTCCAAAAATATGGAAGAACAACTCAGAGAGTGAGTATATAATCACTTATTTGCTAAGTCTAGAACTAGGAAGTGGTTCGGTAAAGTTGGTGATCTTTACAATTCCGCTCTAGTTTTTGCACTGAATACATCTACAAAGGAGATACGTAATAGCTGTTTAGAAAGCATTTTTGAGTGTTTGGAAGTTATTACCCGATTTCATCAAAACCAGTATTTCTGGTGTTTTTCGATAAATTAATGTACACATCAACCTTAGCAAGATTAGTACGAAAGTACTATTGCACTCACCCTTGTTGGTAATCCTGAAGAAAATGTTACAAAGTTAGTATAGCTGTTCATTTTTTTAGTGAGGATAAAAAAAACACGTGTCTGGCCATGGCTTTGTAAACCTTTGCTCCATTTTAAATACAAGCTGGTATAATTGGGTAAATAACCTTCTGCCAGTCTTTCCAATGTACTTGCTACTGCAAATACAAGTGAATTGGTTATAAAAGTTGGAGGTGAAGAAAGAAAACGAGACACACAAAGCCATTTTGTGCTCTTTATTCGAACACTTGTGGGCGTGTTAGAGCCTATGGTGAGATGTCAGGTGGGCTATACTCATCGAGCGGTGTCCGTCAAGGGTGCCCATAGATATTCTTATGGAAATCTCCCTCTCGTCACCTGATTACACAGAGATTGACCGAATCATAGGAGAATTTTCGTTAGACTTAGAATATGCAGATGACATTGTCCTGTTAGGTGAAGAGGCTGACAAGATGCAGAGTCTTCTGAACACTTTCAGTGTCAATTTGAGAATGTTTGGGATGCGATTCTCACCACCCAAATGCAAATTGTTGCTCCACGATTGGCAGTCAGCGGTGCCACGGCTAACAGTGGAGAGTAAAGTGGTTGAGTGTGTTGAACACTTCACTTACCTGGGAAGTTGGTTCATCCCTGGTGGCTCAGTGCAGTGGCAGACGAAATTTCTGCACGAATACAAAAGGCTCGATTGGCTTCTGCCAATTTGCGCCACCTATGGCGCCGCCGTGATATTCGTCTGTCTATTAAGGGTCTCGTGTACTGCACAGCAGTACGCTCTGTTCTACTGTATGGCTGTAAAACATGGCCATTGAAAGTGGAAGATATGAGAAGGTTACAGGTATTTGACCACCGTTGCCTTCGTAGTATAGGACGTATTCCGTGGTGTCACCATGTGAGTAATGCAGAAGTTAGGTGTAGAGTTTTAGGGAGAAGAGGTAAGTCGGCTGACACGGTGGTGAACCTTTATCGATTGAGATGGTTGGGACACGTACTACGTATGCTCAGTCGCCAATTGCCTTGTCACACAATGTTGGCTGAGGTAGGCCCAGGCTGGAAAAAGGCTCGAGATGGCCAGACCAAAACATGACACCAATGTATGAAGTTTTTGACTGTTAGTTTGAGCCATGTGGGGCGACGCAGAACAGCCGGTTGGGGTCCGCGGGACAAGAGGAATCAGCGGTTGGAGACTCTAGGTGATATGGCTGAGAACCGATGTCAGTGGCGCAGATGTATACACACATTATTGTCATCTTAATGACGCTATACCGAACCTCACCACTTTCAAATTCTTCGTTTCTCGCTTTTCGTGCTTTATATTTCCTTTGACTGCATTCTCTTATCTTTATCTTGCGCCTCACTGCCTTTTTACTTGGTGTGGTGATATGAGCTGTGGCAACTCGGACCGTTACGCAGTAATGCCTGGTCCTAGGTTGATCTGGATGGATGGATGATTTTGTTCACATCCGCGCAGTAGGCAATGAGCCGTACCTATTTAGTGAAGGACAGTGGCACTACTTGGCATCCCGAACCCCAGTAGATGGAGCGGGCCTCAAATCTGTGACCCAATGGTTGACAGATCATCTCCCTAAACCGCTAAGCCACAACTATTGAAGTGAAGTGGGAAGGGTATTTACCTACTTAAGATTGACTCACTGTGTAATGGTGTTAACTGAAATGAGTTTAGCAGAAAGCATATAGACCTAGAATTATCGATTTAATCATAGATAAATTACCATTTCTCCTGATTAAAATATGCAATCTTAGATGGTATGCTGTTGATGCATATCGGCGAAGTTAAGTGACCTTACTCAGTTCCACAAAACGGACCGTCATTATTTTTAAGCTTCGAAGAATGAACATGGAATATCCTCTGATACTGCTCAAACTGATCAGCAGGATCAAAAGTACACTAAACACTTGGATCGATACCGTAAAACCAATGATATCTGCGCAAGGTTAGAATCTGTAAAAATATTCACATTTCTTTGAAAGGTCACATAATGCGATTATTACTGAAGACACCACTTGCAAATAATAGCACTTTGAGTACTGTACTCCGAATGAAAGAGAAGTCGATGTGTATATTGAATGTAGATCATGTGATGGTTTCTCTCTTTCAGATCCCTTCTGTTACTTTTCTCATGTTTCTCCTCCTTTGTGATTTTGTAACGATGAGCTGTCTTATGTGAGGGATCTTTTAATGTACACTTTGTTTACAACAGTTGTAGTAAAATCCAAGATTTAATGTTGTGCAAACCTGACAATCGGTTATTATTTGCATATTAGGTAAACAGATAGTCCAAAGTAACGTTGATCACAGTTAATTCAATCAGTTTTGCAAATCGTATTACATTACTCTTACTTTATATTGAGCGATTAGGTGTACAAAATATTCTATATGTTAATCATTTGCGGTCGAAACAGTCATTATAAATTGCTGAAAATTCCATGACGAATAAAGGTACAACTGTTGTTTGTAAATGTGTAACTAATTTGTGTCAGTAGGTCACAACGTATACTTTAGTATGATTTTCATTGACGGCCATGAGCATTTCAACCAAATGTTATTTTTTTACACACCTTACTTCTTTTTCAGTACATATACGAACTTGAGGAAATAATTAGTGAGTGAACTCCTGTAAACTGAGTGCTCCTAAATTGTTAAACGCAATTGGTAGGAAGCAACAGACCTAGGTTTCACTCGTAGGTAAGGTGCATCTCTAAACACATAAACCTTTAAGACAGTACCTGTTTTCTTCATACTTCAAAATTCTCCCGTCCAACCACTGATTACAAGCCGAACCATTAAGTGTAAAAATACAGACTTTCATTTGACTAGCTACATTACCCATTAATTGTGTGAATAAGTGAACTACATTAGCACTTTTAGAGTATCATTCGTTGCGGACTGATAGCAGTTGGAGGACCATTGAAAAACGTAGGAACACTGGAGAGCTGTTTCTTTCTAGTATGGGGCTCCTCAGCAGTATGCATCCACGACCTTGCCACGGGTCGAACTCAGGACCTTCAGGTTTTACGGCAAACCCATTGACCGTTCAGTCATTAGGTCAGAGTTAAACAGTCTACAGTTTCCTACATCTATCAATTCGGGATAAAGCGCTACTGTCTTCCACGTACTATTAACCCTAATTCTGAAGTAAAATATATGGTAAAATATTAGCTCATCTTGTCACTACTAAACTGGACCTTAAGGTAAATTGTGTCAAGAATAATTATTGTGCGATAAAAAATTACTTCATATCATATCTAGTAAATAATAATGCATCACAATGTATTGACTTGATATGAAATCGCATTACCAGGGTCCCATTGCTAATCTTATGTAATTCATTACTACAAACCAACTGATCTCCGAGCAAAAAGATAGCAGAACCATTTTAAAATAATCTAATTAATCACTCCACAAGATATTTTTGACATACCGATGCTTCATAAGACCAATGAGCAGGAAATTTCCTCTATTAGTCGCTCGTGAAGGATTATCTCTTTATATTAAAAAGGTAGAAAAAAGGGGAAAAAACTAATCAGATAGAATATAAAAGTCACAAAGCTAGAAATTGTGAATTAGCAATGTACCACAATGATGATTGAGAGTGAAACACAAACTTGGTCTTATTGGTAGGGAAACAGATATACAGAGGATTCACAAATGCAAACGAATATTCTTCGTTTGTTATTTAACTAGACTTGTTTCGACAGTGTGTCCACGAAGAAAAACAGGATCTGAGCCATAATAGCACAATTTCCGAAGTTCTTACAGTCCGATTATTACGAGATAATGGTATGGAGAAAGTGAGAACTCCTCTGAGTCATTTGGAAATTAAGTGCTGAGTTCCATTTAAAAGTAACCACTAAAGTAACGTCTTCCAACTACACTGAAAAGACTAACCCCCAAACAATCGTGAAAATTTAGCTTTCGAATATTTGCATTACTCTTTCTATAGCTCTTGCAAATACCTAGTTAATCTCCGTTGTTCAACAAAGTTGAATAACATTTCCAGTTGCAGAATGACAGTTTAAGATACCGCGATGTGAGTCACATTGATACAGTTTAGAAGCAAGTGAAACTCAGATTGTTGTATAATTTACCTGCTCCTTGAGTTAATTTTTCATGAGTAGCAGTCAAAAAGTGAAATGTTTCAGATTTTATAAGTTCTAAAATTCTGATACGCTATTTGGAATAATAAATCTACGCTCCGCAAGAGAATTTGTCTTGCTTTAAATTTAGCCATGCTTCGAATTTCATCGATGTACTTTTTCATCCACTTTGTTTCCTTAGCGGATTACTGACTTCATAAAAAGGAAAAATCGTAACACTTGGCAGAGACCTGCTTAAATATCTTGGCTACTAAATTTTCCACTGCATCAAATTTTTCTACGTTCTTCTATGTTTTATCATTTTGTGTCCTCTGATTGGATTAAACATTCATGCACATTTTTAAAAAGTTTACAACCTGTTGCGATGATTTTATCAGATAAGATGAGGAAAAAGCACCATGATGCGTTGAAGCGAATAACTTTGTCGCAAGTGACTCTGTCTGAAATTCTAAGCACGAACTGTAGAGCCTAGCAGAGAGGTGGGTTACTTACAATCTCTTCTATCCTCCAATGTGTACTGTAATTCTGGAGTAATTACACTGCAAGAAACTTGGTTGCGTTGTCTCTATGATAACAATTTGGTTTCTCTTAATGGTTTCACATTTTCTATCAGAATCGGCGTAGCTCTATTAAGAAATGTGGAGGTGGTGTAGCTGCCTTAATCAATTCCCATTGGTACATTTGGAGTTACAAATGCTTCAGATTCTCAAGTGATCACATAGACTGAATCATTCCCACGTAAAACAACTGGAAAACTACTGCTATATTTATATCACAAATATTTATGTGACGCCCGGTCGCCGTTACTGCGAATTATCTAGTTTTTAATACATTCACAGAATTCGCAGCCCCAATACTCTGTGGTTCCGTGTCGATAATATGTGATTTCAATTCTTGTGACCAAAGCTTTCTCACAACTCTTGGTTATCAAAACTTTCTTAGTTTCACAACACGTCAGGATGCAACACTAGACTTAGTATTCACCAATGATAGTGATATATATGAAACTCAAAAGACAACCCCACTGCTCAGCGCAGATCACTGCATTATACGCGTTTTGCCCTAAATATATGGCAAACTACACAAAACAGCCTTCACATATTGGCCTGAGAAAATCGTACATAGGAACTATTCACAGACAAACATATTTCAACTAAGAGAAATGGTACAAGGTAGAGACCGGAATATACCTGACAGCGATGTTTTGAACGACCCTACTGATGGTGTGATATATTATCTCAAGTTTTGCCTAGATATCCGTTGCCCTAGTGAAAAACTGTTTCTATGCTTCGATCGAATATCTTCTCAACTTAAAAGACAAGGCTGAAAAAAAGAAGGGCTATATAAACCAAGTGGTAACGCTGGTGCTCATCCATTGGATGTTCCAATTATTTTTTCCCTTGGGTTCCTAGTGGAACATCGGGCTTCAGTAGCACGCCTCCACCGCACTCTGTTCTCGGCAGTCTTTTGAACCTTGCTCCACGACTCCCTAGAAGCTTTCATTTCCTCCTCATATGATCTCCTTCATGTCACCCTCGAACGCCCAACTCGTCGTTTCCCTTTTGGATTCCACTTGAGGGCCTGGCGCGTGATATCCCCAGTGTTTTAGTTAGGTTGGAAATTAAACGACTGGGTCTAGTATATAACCAGAAACTTTATTTGACGTGAAGGCTCTTCCGGCATTTTGAAACTCATAGTAAACACACTAATAAAAATATGTGTTGATGTCTACTTTTGAAACAAATCAGCATTTGATTCTGTCCCGAGACATCTTTTACCGGACAAACTGGCCAGGACACATACTAATTCCTGGGTAATCAGCTGGCGGCATTCATGTTTCTCTGAAAGGAAACAATATAATATTTATAGAGGGAAGCGCTTCACCTGATTGCTTACCGAGGTTGGTGTTCCCCGAAGTGCCGTTCTTTCCTCTAGTCTTTTCTCTTTCTGTATGACTTAGCATCTTCAGCTTGTATCAATTTTATTAAATATGCCGATGACCTAACAGTTTTCATACCGGTCTTTTTTCAACAGATTTTTCCAAAATGAACGACTTCTTATCTGCCATTGGAAGATGGTCTTCCATGAATGGTCTTGTGTTTAATTCTTCAAAATGTCAGACTATAAGTTTTGGTTTCAGACGAACATAACCTGTGTAAATTGTTTAAATCTAACGCTTTCTGTCCTATTGATGGCTGTGTATTGAAGAAAGTTACAGGTATGATTTATCTCGGAGTGTTTTTCTTGGAACCTCTACTGGTCCTCTAATATTTTACTAATTTCTAAAAGAATCCTCTTCCTTATTCACTATATTCGGAAGCTGAGATTATCTGGCATAATTCAGCCTCTTCTCTGCATCTTGCCCATTTTTCTCTATCGTTCGCCTTCTTTCTTTCTTGGGTTGCTGAGAGAAGACTACGCTATATTGCGTAGAAATTCGAAGATGGTCAGCAGAACTAGTGATGTACCTATAAACCTCCTAATTAAAACTGCTGTGGACAAGTATCTTAAATCATGTAACCATCTGGCAAGAGTTTTTTTTATCAGCTGACCAGCATCTTCTTCACTCAAAGCTCTCTAAGTATCTGTCGTCAGGCAAGACCAGGAACAAGTATATAAAAATTTATGCACGTACTACTAAATATGGAACTCTACAATAACGTATTTAGCTCGTATTATGTGGGAGAAAGAAAGGGTTCGAGATGAACTAACTAATCAACTTTTGTTTTTGAAAGCAAACTAATCGGACTTTACTTAACTTGCTGTTGTTTAAGTATTATGAATCTAATTGCTAATGTGACTGTCTACCTGAGTGAAATCTGCATTTTCTATCATCATCATCATTATCAACATAGGACCAGGCATTACTGCGTAACGGTCCGAGTTGCCACACCTCATATCAGCACATCAAGTAAAAAGGTAGTGAGGTGAAGGATGAAGATAAGTGAATGCAGTCAAAAGAAATATAAAGTACAAGAAGAAAGGAAAGAGGAGCGACAAAATGGTGAGATTCGGTATAGTGTAGTTAAGATGAGGATAATGTGTGTATACATCTGCGCCACTGACTTCGGTTCTCAGCCATATCACCTAGGGTCTCCAACCACTGATTCCTCTTGTCCCGTGGACCCCAACCACCTAGTCTGCATCGTCCTACATGGCTTAAACCAACAGTCACAGACCTCATACATTGGTGCCATGTTTTAGTCTGGCCACCTCGGGCCTTTTTCCAGCCTGAACCCACCTCAGCCAACATTGTGTGACGAGGCAATCGGTGACTAGGCATACGTAGTACGTGTCCCAACCATCTCAGTCGATGAAGGTTCACAACCTCGTCGACTGACTTACCTCTTCTCCCTAAAACTCTACACCTAACTTCTGCATTACTCACATGGTGACACCACGGAATACGTCCTATACTACGAAGGCAACGGTGGTCAAATACCTGTAACCTTCTCATGTCTTCCACTTTCAATGGCCATGTTTCACAGCCATACAGTAGAACAGAGCGGACTGCTGTGCAGTACACGCGACCCTTAATAGACAAACGAATATCACGGCGGCGCCATAGGTGGCGCAAATTGGCAAAAGCCAATCGAGCCTTTTGTATCCGTGCAGAAATCTCATCGGCAACTAACCCACCGGAGTTGATCCTACTTCCCAGGTAAGTGAAGTGGTCAACACACTCAACCACTTCACTCTCTATTGTTAACCGCGGTACCGCTGAAGACCAGTCCTGGAGCAAAAATTTGCATTTGGGTGGTGAAAATCGCATCCCAAACATTCTCAAATTCCCACTCAAAGTGTTCAGAAGACTCTGCATCTTGTCAGCGTCTTCACCTAACAGGACTATGTCATCTGCATATTCTAGATCTAAGGAAAATTCACCTGTGGTCCGGTCAACGTCTTTGTAATTAGGTGACGAGAGGGAAACCTCCATAAGAATATCTATGATAAAATTAAATAAGAATGGGGATAGTGGGCATCCTTGACGGACACCACTTGATGAGTATAGCTCCCTGGACAACTCACCATAGGCTCTAACATGCCCACAAGTGTTCGAGTAGAGAGCTTTCAATAAGGTGATGTACTTACTAGGCACGCCTTTCAGTGACAGACACTGCCATAAGACTTCTCGATCAACGGAGTCAAATGCCGCCTTCAGGTCGAGAAATACAGCTATTGTCGGGCGTCTGTAAGCATGCCTATGTTCCAGGACCTGGCGCAGTGTGAATATTTGGTCGATACATCCACGGCCAGGTCTAAAGCCTGCCTGGTTTTCTCGGGCTTGCTGTTCCCGAGCTCCACTCAGGCGTCGGAGAATTATAGAACTTAGGATCTTAGACACTATGTTTGTCAGGCTGATTCCTCTGTGGTTATCACAAGAGGACTTCTCGCCTTTCTTGAAGACTGGGATGATCAGTGACTTAGACCAGTCGGAGGGGATCGTATTTGATTCCCATATACTGGCTAACACTTCCGTTAGCCTGACTAAGAGAACTCTACCACCATTCTTGTATACCTCAGCAGGTAGTCCGTCTGGTCCTGCTGCCCTTCCCCGTTTCAGGCTACCTACCGCTTTCTCAACTTCTTCTAGTGTTGGGGGACCTGTCTCTATGTCCCATTCAGGGTCCGACTGGATAGCGGGCAGCGCAATGGTGGCTGGAGGCCAGTTAAACTGTTCCTCAAAGTGTTCTGCCCATCGTCCCAGTCGCCTTCCCTGCGAGTGAATCGCCGATCCGTCCTTCTCCGCTATAACCTCACTAACTGTTGTTGACCATTTCCCCCCAGTCTCCTTAATAAGTCTAAATAACTGTCTACTGTTACCGATCGCCGCTGCCTTTTCCATCTCTTTAGCCTTTGCTGCCCACCACTGTTCACGATCGTTGCGCAGACTTTTCGTCAGTTTATTTTTAAGTTGCGCTCGCTCTTCATTGTACTCAGAGCCTGCAGGGATGCATTCACGTGCATCCATTAGTTTGGAAGAAGCTGCTGATATCCACTGGCTCTTTTTAGCCATTATCTTGGAGTCGGCTACAGTCTCCAGTGCTGCTTTTACAGTAGACTGAAGATGGCACCAAGCTTCTTCTGGATGAGTGACAGTCTTTTGTTCCGATAACTGCCTAGCCAACTTCTCACTGAACACGGCTTTGGTGTTTTCGTTGTCCAGCAGAACTCGTAGTGGTTTTGTTGCCAAATTTTTTCTACGTCCATTGAGACGCAGGCATATACGTGCTCGGACCAACGCATGATCGCTGTCCAAACACGTACTCCAGAAGGAGCGGCAGTCTTCCACCGATCCTCTCCAGCGATGACTAATAGCAATGTGGTCTATCTGTGTCCATCGCTGAGTCGAGCTCGGTGGACGCCAGGTCAGACAGTGCCTTTCTTTATGTCTGAAATTTGTGCTGGCTAAAAATAGGCGGTTATCTGAGCATAGTTGTAATAGGCGATCACCGTTATCTGTACGTTCAGCTGGGATTCCGAAAGTGCCACCTAAGTGCCTTTCTGCCTCACTCAGTCTACCCACCTGTGCGTTGAGGTCACCTGCAACAACCACTACGTCCGAACGTTTGGCTTTCGAGAGGAGGTTAGACAGTTTATGGTAGAACTCGTCCTTCACTTCATCCGAACTACAGTCAGTGGGTGCGTAAGCAGAGATTACAAAGAGACAACGGCGAGTCTCACTATTCCTTTTAGTTCTCACTGTGCCGTTCAGCCTCATAGCGCAGAGGCGACTATCAACTGGGATCCAGTCTAGTAGTGAGTTTTCTGCCCTGGTGCTTAATGCTATACCTACACCTGCAAGACCACGAGAGCTAGCTATCGAATCTCCAGAAACTCGAAGGGTGAATTTTGCAGATTCACCAGATTGGTCAGGAGAGGTCAGGTGAATAACCACACTTGGGTCCTGTATGCGTGTCTCACAAACACAGCACACATCCATGCCTCGAGTTGCTAGAGTCTTTGCCAACGAAGCCTGTTGGCCAATTTGACGGAGGGTGCGGACATTGAAGGCTCCAATATGTAATTTGGAGCGTGGTTTAAGGAGACCAGGGACACTGTTCTGTGGACTCAGATCGTTGTCGAAGGCTGCAGAGGTAGGAGAAATTGAAGATGATGCAGCATCATTAATTAAGAGACGTGAAGGAAGATTAGAAGGTAATGATGGAGGAGGAGGATAGCAGTCAGAAGAAACTTGGGTGCTGACAGAGTTGTGAGGGCGGTTGACACTTCCCGGCTGCCCACACCGTGGAAGGCTATTTCTTCTTAAGGTACCTGAAAGAGATTTGTGTGACCGCAGAGCCCATCGGACATCTGCTTGAGGCCTGTCACACCCAGCCTTTTGAGTATGATTATTTTGAATTTTTGTATTTTTGGGGCCGGATGAGCGAAAGGAAACGACAAGTGAACCAACACCGCCGGCCCGGCAGACCGTGGGGCGTGGTGGAGTGTGTTATTTTTGGGGCCGACCTTTTCTAACCCCCCCTTCCACTGAGAAGGCAGCATCAGCTTGGCACTGCTGGTCATCCAAGGGAAACACCTTACTGCTGTCACACCCCATCCAGCTAGCAGCAGTACGACTTCGCCCTCAGACCCCCATCATAGTATAGCAATTTACACTATGACGGTAACTGCTTTTCGTCTAACCACTACCCAACAGACCTTTCTGGTATGGTAGGACCTCGAGGGAACAAGCGTTCCACCAGCATAGCTCGTTGGGTCATTGTGATATGCAAGCCCGACCACCACGTCAAGGTAGCAGCTATCGGTCGGGGCATTTTCTAGAAAGTTGTAGATAGAGTAAATATCCTCATCTTTTATATGTAATTTCTATTTACTTCATTTTATTATGTATACGCATACACTATTTCTGTCCGACTGATGGCATACAACATGCTGAAAAATTCTGTACAGCATTCTCGAAGTATCTTCCAGAATAAAGCCATTATTATTACTATAATATAGACTTAAAAAGCATATTCACAGTTGACTAACATTTCATATTTTGAAAACTTTTTGGTGTCTACTGCAGTTGTATGACTTGTAAAACTAATTATTACAAAAAAAAACCAATTGAACTATGTTTAACATAAGATGATTTATCAAATCTAAAAGTGATAGAGAACAAAACTTTCGAAATCCTATCTTCATTAACAGGATACTCTACATCGAAGTTATCTGTTTTCGTATACTTGATTACCGCAGCAGTATAAAATTTAACTAACAGCTGTTCTTCACTCGCTAACTCTATCACTCAACCACTTTAAAGATGACGAGTTAGTTTGCTATACATAGACTAGTCACTTCCAGGTCAATCATAAGAATGCAAAGCATTTAATTTGTTTGCTCTTCCCATCATAAGCAAAACATTTTAGAGTTTGTTAGAGTCAGAAATGAAGATCAAGTAGGAATTTGAGGCTATGAATATAAGACAAAGTCTGGAAAATGTAGTGAATCAGTTGGCGTGAATATGGGACCCGGCATTACTGTGTAACAGTCTAAGTTGCTGCAATTCATATCACCACACCAAGATGGAAGGTATCAAAATGAGAGATAGAGAAATAAGCGAGAAACTTGCCGAAGTGGCAGAAAGTCATGTAAACTGAACAAGGGGAGACGAGACAACAATGAAATTGGGTATGACGATTACGATGAACACAATTTGTGTGAATGTATCTGGGCCACTCAAGAACAAGAACTTAAAATCGGTGTTTGTATTTAGAAGTTTGACTTTAATTTCAGTTTTTAAGGTTTCAGAAACTAAAGAAGGTAAGAAATATTACCGGTTATTAAAAATATGAAATATTGTCTACTAGAAAGATTTATACTATGCGGATGATAACTCTATATTCACTTAGCAGAATCTTCTATAGGAACGCTCACGTAGTTTAATTAATACAGTATATAAACTAAACTCGAATGAGAGTGCTCACTTGGCTAAATCTACGGCTATTATTAATATAATTTAACCAATATAAAGTTGCTGTGCAAAAGTTCTGTATGATGACAAATACAAGTTACTTAACTGCACTCAATTAGTTGGGGGTCAGTGTCCGTAAGTATGGTATGAGCTATGCACCATTGAAGTTCGAATTACTTTTACAATATTGGCAGGAGACCATAGTTTGCACACAGCATTGGAAGTAGTTGCAAAGCATGCGTATTTGTCTAGTTTTGTGAGTACTGAGGGGAATTTGACTAGTGGATTGCTAACCATTTATAGAAAGTCAGAGAGTCATACCCTAATCTGCGTCACCTTTGGTGCAGTTGCAACGTCAGTCTTACTATAAATGGTTCGGACTACAATACGTGGGTGCGAAAGCTCTCCTATAAGCCTATGAAAACTGGTTTCTTCTAGTTAACATTGAGTGCTTCACTAGCCTCATCTTCGTAGGATCTGTAGTACCCACTAGAAAAATCATATATGTAACTTCTGGGTTCAACGTTCATTTGAACATGATGGAGATCGTCATTCGTTGAGTCAAGTCGTCCAGGCAAACATCAGCATCGATGACCTGGACACGTGTTACGCAGGCCGTCCCACTGTCCTCCATACCGTTCGTCGTTTGTCAGCTTTGGGACTGGTTGGAAGGAGAGGAGAGGTGGTTAGTGTATGGTCTGGCATCCTGGTATGAAGGATAGTTGTGTTGAGTAAATTTGTGTTGGTGCCTCACAGCTCATTGGATGGAAGGTGAGAAATGACGGAATTTAGTAGTTTAGGACGATATTAGATATGTCTCAAAAGTGAAACCAGTAGTTATGTTGTAGTCTTTTATGTGTCCTTTATTTGTGAAAAGTAAAATAAATGCAATGAAGGCTTTCTATGAATATATCTTATCGAAGCAACTTTCTGTTCACTATCTTACCTCTTTTCACCTTTGACTGCATAGTGCCGTTATATTATTTAGTATGTTGCATATCTTGTCACCCATATATTACCGCACTATGATTTAAAACTAATAATAACAATAATAACAATGGAATTTTCAAATCCTAACTAGAATCAGTCCGTGCATAAAGAAGAAACCATCGAATATAAACCAATTTATTGACACAACAGTTATGAAAAGTTGTAGCAAAACACTGAAATATCAAGTTACATTATATCGGAGATCATGTTTTTGGATGCCATCTAACCGAGTCTTCAACCTACCTTCTATGCTTTATTTTTAAGTCGAAGTAACGAATAGAAACACTATTATTTATCAATACTTGTAATTCTGTGTTGTTATGCTGGATCCAATTGATCGACCTCTGTCGCTATATGGGCGCCTATGCGGAATAGAAACACTTCTTACAAATTAAAAATTGAATTTAACTTATTCGTTATAAACCGTTTTGAGAAGCAACTGTTACTTACCCTGTACTGATGATTTCATCATCACTTCGTCGAATAATGAGTACCGGACCGTCATAACTTGTTGCAAACATTTTTGAAAGAAAAAGGCAGAAAATTTAAAACATCAGTAATCAGAAAGTACGAACATTACTATTACACATAGATGTTTGTAAAAAAAAGGCAACGGCTGTCAACTACTTTACCAATGTACTGTTCTTGTCAAACACGCTTCCCTGTCATTGTGAAGTAGCTTTACATTCACTACTATTTTGTTTAGTGGTAAAGGTTTAAGTGAAGATGACTTTATTTCATTAAAATTCAGAGTAACATATTCAGAACTGAGAAGCAGATGCTGAATTGTTTTTTCGCTTCTCATTCAGTCCACCTCTTGAGTAACGTCAACTCCTCCTTGTTCCTATGCTTTTTTGATCAAAATTTACCCTTTAAGTATCTTACCACGTTGCACAACTGAGTGTCCACTTAATTTCAATTAAACTTCGATCAGTATTTAATACTGTTACGATGCAGAGTTGTAAGGACGAACAACTGATGGCCAAGAATTGAGACAGTTCAGCCCGAATGATTTGCAAAGAAAAACCAGAAGACCGGTAATCGACTGAGTTAATAGTATCTCCAACTGAGCATACAGTAACCTTGAAAGACAAGGAATAATTAGAGACGGAGGAGCCAATAGGAGCGCTAGAGGATTATGTTAAATGTGACTCATATGTGGGGAAAAAAGCTCAAAGAAAACAGTTCAAATATATACAGATTGTAAGTATGGAATATAAGGGATATAGGTATCCCTAACAAATACACAGCAATTTCTAGTATTTTGAGTTATTATGTAAATTGTTTATTACCAAGTCCCCTGAGTAAAATTTTATTGTGCATAAAATAATGAACAGCGTCGTAATCAAAAATTTCTAGTAAATGCGATCGTACGGTGACGAGAATAGGATTGCAGAAAAAGAGTCTCTTTACTGGACTTGTTGTTGTTTTCTTACACTTCAAATTAACATGAAGTGAAAGCTCAAAACATAGCATTTGTGATAATTTTTTTAAACCTTATCGTTCACTGAACACTAGTTGAAAAAAATAAAGTCATCTCTGTATTATTCAACTTTTACTACCGAAACATCTTCGTGAGGCATTTATGAACTTTATATGATGTAACCACTGACATTACTTATTCACACCTAGTTTTTACAGCTTCTGTCGGCAAAACAGAGCTTTTCACACGCTATAACTTCTACAGACCTTTGTCAGTAGCTGAATACACTGAGTACAAAACGTTGCTTGAGGGTAAACCGGTAAATTTTAATCAAAGAGATACTTTAATTTACATCTTCACTAATGCATAATTCTGACTAGAAACAGCAGAATGGATACGTGAAATGATTCGAGTTTTCTGATCATTGATTAAGTGTAGACACAACTGCATAGAGTTCATTTGTTATCAACTAACATAAGCTGATTGTGGTGTCGACTAAAGATATATATCTGCTTCTAAGCATGTGGATAAAAAGTAAACTGGTGAGCCACAATCAACGGTACGACAAATGGAGAGTAAACAAAATGGATTATTCTTGCAGGTTTTTTTAGATTTCCAGCATTTTGGCACTAACCCTTTAGGGGAAAATGTAAGTCATTTTAACTGTAATGTACGGTTTTGGATAAAGCACGTTGAAGCTTTTCGTTTGTATTAATCAATCAAGTCAACGTCAGCGAGTGACCACGTATTACTGCGCAATAGTTCATATCACCACATCACGTTAGAAAGTACCATGATGAAAGACAGGAAAGTAATCAAGAAAGTCGTGAAAAACGAACGAAAAGAAATGACACTAATGAAATTCGGTATGACGATGATAATGAAAATAATTTATCTATATATCTGCGCCATTGAGATCGATTCTCAGCCATATCACCACCGATTACCGTTGTTACGTACACCTCAACCAGGAAGTTTAGGAAGTCTAGTATTATGTGAGACAGTGACGTGTACGCTGAAGGCAGTAACATACTATCATCACTACACCGATAGGGACAACAAAATAAAAAAAATTTATTAGCCAAGTATACGTTTATTAGGTAATTTTAAGCAATACATATTGTGTTAGTTCTGTTACCTAGCCTCATTTAGTGGCCACAGTGAGGAAGAAATCCGTAAAGATAAAAACAGAAGTAAAAGGACAAAGCTTTCAAAATACTGGATTGGAATATACCGCACACCTATAGGAATAATTAATGTTTAGTTTCACCACAGCTAAAATGTTAGCTGTATGCATGAAGCTTAAGCAATCGAGTATTGAAGTAGGTGAAGAGATCTTAACAAAGCATATGTATTTACACCTTACAACAACCTAAATACTAAGTAGCACAATGTTATACGACTAACCAATTCCTCCTATTACTTCTAAATAAACGGAAATTACCAATTAGAGTATCAACAAAACAAAAGTTAAAGGAAGATATTCTTCAGATAGTTTTTATTTTTTTTTTAACCGCATAATTATTTTACACACGACGTTACAAATGCTTCAATGAAATCGGGAAATTTTTAAATCAACTAGTAACAACAGTAGGACAATAAGATATGCAAAATTAGAAATACCAAGTGTGATAGACAAATATGATCAATACAGGACGTGATTTTACGAGGTAGTAGTCCAAGAGTAGTGAAAAATAACCATGAGAAGAATAACACATTTACATATGCAGTTGCATGAAACATCTACATGGTAGTTCAACAAAAAAGACATTGTCTCACATAACCACTTCTATATATGTACATGAGTTTGCCTGCTCTACATCTGATGATTAATACTATTTGGAAAATGGATTAGATTTGTGTGACCATGAGAGCCCATAGGACACTTACTGAAGGTCGGTCACAAGCCCTTCTTAAGATTTTAGTTGAATGGAGGTGATCGGCAGGGCTTCCGTCCAACTAACATCTATCAAAGTGCATCGCACTACTGAGCTGCCAAGTCTAGTGGCTACATTGCAAAAGGATCGATAGAATTCGGTCAGCACACAGGACTAGACAACATGAAGTTGGTTACCCTCCAGTGAACAATCAATGTACCTTCTTAAGATTGTTGGATTGAGATACGATTGTGTGGAATTGAAAAAAACCCTACCTTAGGCAAAGAATACTCGAGAGTGCAAAGTTGTGAGCTATTTTTGGAACTGAGCTTTTCTTCTACACCCGTCCCAAAGGGAAAACAAAGTCAGCATGACCAACTAGTCAACCGCTGGAAACATCTTACTACTGTCACATCTTTTTCAACCAACAGTACGAATTCTCTCTCGGATCCCATCATAATGTCGTTATTTAACCCACGATGGTAACTGCTTTTTGTCTCACTACTAACCAACAGACCTTTCTGGAGCGGTATGACGTCAAGAAACGATCGTTTCAACCAGCTTTGCTCGTTGGGTTACTAAGATATGCAAGCCCAACTACCAAGTCAAGGCAGTAGATATCGCTGACAGAATACTGGACTCATTGAGCTGAAATTCGAGTATTGTGAACCTACAACTGTATCTGTCAAATGTAAGATAGTATTACAGGAGTAGTCTGCAGTTAAACGCTTTTTAAGGTTAAGGAGTGAAGTGGTAGAATACTTTGGCCAGTTTACCAACTTGGGAAGTTGCATCAGCCTGACGAAGTCCCGATTCAGATCCAAAATGTCTATTTGTCATTTGCCAACTTTCGTCTTCTCTGAAGTTAGACATATCCAAATGAGTATATTTCACAGCAGAATTCAAACAAGTGGATATAAATAGTTATATCACAGTAGACAAAAATGTATAAGAGGAAAAAGAACTTGAGAAAATGGAGGCTAGTGAAAATGTCCAAACTTTCAGAGACATCGAAGTGTGAGTACATTAGAGCCTTTGTGACCTATTTTATGCCTTAATGCCAAGGGTTTTCAATTACTGATTCCCACCAACTCAGAGACGCCAACCAGGCAATCTACTTCGGCTAACAGTACAAAATCAATGTAGGCCGTAGTTCAGGACATGCAACATATCTCTAAGCCAGCTTATTCGCCTAATCGGCTGACTTAACTTTCTTGTCTAGTTCCTTTCTCCTAACCTCAATGTTGTTGAAACGGTGATTCCGCGATGCACGAGCAATGCTATCAAGACACCTATGACCAGGAAACTATTACCTCTTTAAAATACTAATCGTCCCACCACCGGACAATAAAAACTCAAAGTGTAGGCACCAAAAGACCACAGAGCAGGAAGGAGTGCGTTATTTTGTTGAACTTTTCGATCATTGCTGTCTTATCGGTAGGGTAGCATCAACATGAAATGCTAGCCATCCGTTGGAAACACCTTGAGGCTGACAATCCCACTTTCAACTACCAGTACGACTTCGCCCTCTGACTCCCCTCCTACGATGGCCGACTAATTACGTGTAGTTCCAGATGCTTGTATGGTTTCGCACAGTAAGCTAATACCGTCTGTATGACCAGAATACTTAGGACGAAATAGTAACACATTTGAAAATAACTAGCTACCAGAACATTAATTTGAGAAAGTGAAATTCATGTAACTTACTTTGTAACATGTGATAAGTTATTTAGGTCCAGATAGTCTTTGACAACAGCTTCCAAAACTGGTTCTAATGTAGGCGTGTGAAAGACGAACAAAAAAAGCAGTACACCTTGATATAATGTCCTCAAAATTAACCAGTAGGTAATACTGTTTTGCAATTGATAAGTAAACGAAAATGAAACTAAATATGTTAATTTACCCACTATTAACTCCTATATTCAGAAAACGGTAGTGTCTTAACTCCCCAACATGTAATGCAGGCTAGTTGCCTAGGGGATAATCGCTAAGTGATGGATAAAAAATGAGTAAATAAACACTAACTGAATTGGCGATACATGGAGGTTGATTGATTTTGAAGCATTCTTTTTATCACAATTCGATACCATCTGAGTAATAATGTGATCAGCATGAGAACTGATAGTTCTGGACTCAACCTATCGACCGAGTATCAGATGTGCACTAATAATGAATCCCAAAATAAGACGATGGAATAGCTGTTCATTGCTTCAGATTTTCAATGGTTTTTTCGGCTGACGTCGAAAAACTAACCACCACGAGGTGACAAAATGAATGTACTGAACTACAAAATAACAATCACTTATAACAAAGACTGAAGACAATTTTCATATACCAGCTGGCTAGCGAAACAATAACAAAACTAAGTTTGTAAATGTAAGTGAACCTTATGCACTGCTACCAGTAGTAACTTTAGCACTTATGATGAACAACTAATAGAAGCGTATTATTTTCTAGACACTAAAGATTTTTTAAAAATTGTTTTGATACACAACTAAAATGGTATTGTTATTAGAAATAAAAACTAATTGAAGTTGGTCAATTCAGAAGTCCTGTAAAACGTTAGCATGATTTTTGTTAACAGTGTGAATAATATTCACTTTAAATGTGATATAATTCATTGGCCCTCAAATTACAATAATTTCAAATACTATTCCATGTACTGAAATGCATACCGTTGATGAGTTACTCATGGAAAACTGTTTGAGGAAGACTTCTTCGTTACATTAGTAACGTGTATGATTAAATAATTATCCAAATTCCACAGTCTTCATTGCCAGTTTAAACCAGTAGGAAAACTATCAACCAGTAAATAATACTGAGAAATACTTTTTTCTACACTGTAGGACAATATAGTTCAGCACTATCCTATGGTATGCAGTCCATATATTTATGATCATTTGAGCAGTTCAACTCAAACTTAATTAAGGCTGTGAAATGAGTAGATTTAGATTTGAACAACTAGATCTGTGAAAGAGGCTACTTACTTTACGTTCCTCCCGTTGGTGGTTATTGGAGATGGTTGTTACTGTTGGTAGTGGTGCTATTGTTGGTTGGGTATCTTCATCACCTCTGTCTTCTCTATATTCACTTGAAGTCCCGTCTTCCCTGCCGCTCCTCTTCTGCCAACTTGTTAGTTTTCGCCTGTAGATCATCAAGTTTGTGTGACATCAGACACAAGTCATCGACGAAATCCAAGTCTTCTAGGTTCTTTTCATCGGTCCAGCCAGCGTATCCCCCTCTTCTCACAGCTCACCACTGTTGTCTGCTGCATGATCCAGTCGACCACTATCAGCAATATCATGGGTGATAGTAGGCAACCTTGTTTCACTTCTGTCTTCACTTCACTTCAAAAGCATCACTAAGCTCCCCATTGTGAATTACTCGGCATGTGGCCTCTTCATATAATTGTTGAATGAGGCTGATAAGGGTTTCTGGTATTCCGTAGTATTCAAGCAACTGTCAAATTACTTGTCGGTCGACGCTGTTATAGGCCTTCTCAGAGTCGATGAAGTTGAGGTAGAGATCCAGTTGACTACCATCCTATACTCTGTTCTATGATGATGCATAGCGTATCGTTGCAAGTTGGTCCACTTATGATTTGTACTTCCTGAAGCCTGCCTGTTCCGGTCGTAATTTTGAATCCAGTGCATCCTTTAGTCACTCTAAGATGATACTGCTTAATATTGTTTGAGCTACGTGGACAGGAGAGTGATTCCGCGCCAGTTATTAAAAACACTGACGTCTCCCTTCTTCGGCAGTTTGACAAGGTAACCCTTCTTCCAATCGACAGCCAGGTACCTTCTCTTCCTTCCACGCCTTCTGCAATAGTTGTGTGGTGTGAGCATGTCCGCTGTTGTCTCTGCGCGTGTTCTCAGTGCTTCTGGTGGGATCTCATCTGGTCCTGCTGCTTTCTCACATTTCAGTAGCCTTATGGCGTTCAGGACTTCCACTTTTGTTGGAGGATTTATGTTCACTTGTAGTTCTGTGGCTGGGCTGTAGGTGGTATTTCTGGACGAAGTGCAGGTAGTGGTCGATTCAAGTGGCCAGCCCATCGATTCCTTTGTTTCTCTTCTTTGATAATTATATTAGATTCATCATCTTTTATTGGTTTCATATGTGGTGATTCCTTATCTTCTTTCTTCTTCCTTCCTAATACTGTTATGCAGGTTTCTTTCCACATAGCTTTCAAAGACTTCCAGTGTTCTTCCACACAGGTTTCTTCAGGGATGTTCCTCGATATATCCCATTTTGTCTTGATGGCTGAAGTGAAGATGTCCATTGTAGTTTCGTCCTTCAGTTCTCGAGTGTTGTACTTGAACTGTGGTCTATTACCAACTTCCTTGAAGGCTTTCAATTTGATTTTGAGGGTAGGTTCCTTGCACTAGACAGTGAGTGGTCTGAGCCTAAATCTGCTCATTTCTCTTCTTGATCTGATCTCGTGTTCAGTAGACTGCATCTCCACTTTCTTCACATTGAGATGAAGTCGATCTGATTTTTAGTGTAGTGTGTCCTGGTATCTGGTGAAATCAAATCCATGTGGCTTTGAGAATATCCTTGTGCTTGTACACACTGTCTGACTCCAATCACCAAATCGTTGAATGCATAGAATTCTGCAAACAATTCTCCGTTCTCGTTCATCACCTCACCGAGCGCTTCTCGACCCATGGTTAGTTCTCTTCCTGTGTTGTCCCCTCCCAGTTTCGCATTCATGTCGCCCCACCCATTAGAATTTTGATATCGCCAACTGAGGTGGGATCATGTCCATTGTTGAATGCAGTTGTCTGTAATATTCCTCCTTCTTCTGTTGGTCTGCATTATTTGTAGGTGCGTAGCATTGTATGATTGTGAGTTTTCTTCCTTTTGAGTTGAACCTTGCTGCCATGATCCTGGAGGAGGAGATTGGTTCCCACTGCATGAGAGCCTAATATGCCAATAGAGATCGGTCAATTCGGTCCACTCAACGACGAGTTAATACAAGCAATAACACAACACAAATTTAGTTAATGTTTTCAATATTTCATACTACCTTATAAGGTGGTTAGTTGAAAATAAACAGTAGTCAATAGAAATCTTGTGGGTATTAATTATATCCGATGAACACAAAACGATATTAAATTCTATTCAGAATTATAATAGATGGTTATCAAACAGACTTGATATGATTCTATGAATCAACATCAACTTGATTCTTAATCGAAATGAGCACGATGGCGACTTTTTATACGAATACGACTAGTTTATGATCTTGATTAAGCAGTCGAGAAATATGAAAAATACGATCAGGTCTAGAACCAATACATAAAACCAGTCCCTGAAACACTAAACCCACTTTTCACTATGGTATCAGTGGGTGAGGAGCTGCAAAGAATCTTATTCCTCACACAATATAAACTAATTTAGACCCAAACAGAAATACTCGACACTTTACTTCAAACTATTTATTAGTATAACCCATGGTGCTGTATGGTGTAATTTTTTGTCAGAAATAGTCAAGCAGATAAATTACGAAATACCTTGCCGAACAATCTAATTCGAAACCTCACACTCAACTCCAAATTTCACCAGTCAGATCGAAGTGGTTTAAACACAGGAGACTATTTCGCTTGTTTGTTGTAGAGCCTATCAATGATGTATCTAGACACACTCAGATAACTCAGCCAAATATTCAAACCAACTGAATCTAATTGAGTAACTTGAATGAATCATTATACCAAAGAGACAATATAACTTACCAAACGCAGATGGTGCAGACCTTTTGGACAGCTCGTCTATATTATCAAAAGTGGCGTCCAAAATCTAATTAAAACAAAAATGTTTGAAATAGTAACTTAACCGTCTAATTTCTATGGAAACAAATTTAGTCATAGGCCACATATATATTTGTTAGGCTAAGAATAATAAGTATATAGTCAGAAAGTGAAACTGAAAAGAATATGAAAGTCCTATAGCTATGATATGTGACATTCCAACTGATAAATTTATCTCCTATTACACTAGAATTGGTAGTTCTGACACAAATTGGCTAATGATCTGGCGATGTAGTGAAAAACACTATTTCACATCCCAATATCGTTATATTGCTATAGGAAAAACAACTTTTTCCCAACATTGACCTCCCACTTCTAAAAGCTGACCCATCTTAGTTCATAAAGCGGCAAGCACGTTTTTCATTCAGAAGACGAAATACAGTCAGTCGATCTACTCCTTTTGGAGGTTCAATTTAAAAACATGTATTACTTGATGCCAATTTATTCCCTCCAATTATGTCTTTTTGTTGTTAATCTTAATATTCTACCATTTTTGCCCATTTTCTTTTTATGCGGTGTCAAGAAGTGCAACAATGCCTTTTTATGCGACGCTCTACATTGTCCGATAGTTTGCATTATATTTATTCATCAGTTAGATAAACAGCCAAACTCAATGAGTTAAGGTTATTTAGAAAAAGACTGTGGTACAAAACCTTACACGAAGAATTAATTTCATTGTAGTAATCATGACGAACTGACATCAGTAAGATGACCACTGAAAACATGGGATTACTGAAAAGCCGTTTCGTTTTACTCCCTGACTCCTCAGCAATGTGCTTCGAATAGTCAGGTCTCATGGTGAACAGGTTACTACTCAGCCAATGGACTGAAATTCGATTATTCACGTATTCCTACTTTCTTCAGTTTGCATCATAGTACGACCATTATCCAATGCCTTTGCAGGGTTTCTTTTGCTCACATTCGACTTCAAGCACCAACGCTTCGCAATAAAATTTTGGGAAATCCATCTCAAAAGAAGGAACTAATGAGAACCAATCAGTTTTATATCGCTTCATTTTGAAACGCAACTAAGGATGCACAAAAAATGAACATTTAGACGTGAGATAATTAGTTGGGTTTCCTAATGCAGGTTTTTGAAGAGTACGTTTAATAACTATGTACAATGTCACGCAGTTGGACTTGACCACTGATGATGAGTTTCTTAACCTGACCACTACATTGCAGAAATGGCCGATGTTGTGAAACTGACTACTATTCAAACCAATGGATAGCAATATTGCAATCGCAAAAGTGAAATTTAGGACAAAGTGCAAGTAAAAAAGTAAAGAAAGAGGGATTTTATGAATTCATACATTTCAGTAAAACCTTTTGGCTAAATACTCTACATAAATGATATGTCATAGTGAAATACAAGGAGAAATACACATTTCTATTTTAAATGAGGATAACTATTAAGGCTCAGCAATAAAAATATTCTCTAAGTGTTACGTGGATATGAAGAGACTGGAAGGGGCGTGAAAATTAACTGAAAAATGATATGGATTAGAGTGTATTAAAATGTTTGCATCAATTCGAATTAGCGTATGGAAGCAAATACATAGGTCATACAGACAGGATGCCAATGTCTACTAGTATGGTTGAGCACTTACCTCATCAGCACTTACTTCATCAGTTAGCTTATCTTATGATGTTTAGTCGTATATTCTAGTTGCCAGTTTATTTTTTGTACTCCGCTAATTGGTATATTTCTTAATAACTTGTTTCATTTGATGAATAGATTTATTACTCGAATTTACTCTTTATTCGGTTATCAGTCAGTCAGTTTTCATACATATTTAACACTTCAGATTTTCTAAATTTGCTTAGCCTTATTTGTGTGAAATTTTTCATGGCAGTTTCGAAGACTTGTAGAATGCTTTTGTCAGTAAAATAAAAATCTGATTCACTGAAATAAATCGATCTGTTTATTCCGCCTTAATAGGATGATTTCTACAAGTAATCTCAGTAATCTGTGAATATATTGGTATGTAATTCAGGATATTTTAGGAATTGATGATGTTCCTAACATTTGTAAGCTTGTTTGATTTTGTTGTTTAGCAATTTAACGTACTTCAGCAATCACATGTATGTTTGTGCACTGAAAGACGAGTAACACTTTGTGAGGGGGTCAGTTATACTACTTGATAATCCAGAACCCGGTAATTTGAATCCAGTTAAAATAACTTTATCCCAAAGACTATAAGCAGACCATCTAAACGACTAAATTACAGCAACTCATGTAATTCTCGACTATTTGGCAAGTACCCTCCAAGTAGTACGACGAAATCCTATTGACTTCTGAAGTATAATTACTGGTTTTTGTGCCGGGGAAGAAAGTATGGCTTCTACTAAATAAGAAGAAAAACTTCGCATTTCTTTTTAAAATGAAAAAAGAGCGATATCATAGGCTCTTGGAATTATAAAACACATGTTACGTAAATAGCTTACCAAACCAGCAATATCCGAAAGTTCATGGCTATCCATGACGCTGTATAGCCACCAATAGACCAACCAAATAAATAAATTTGTTCAGGTTGAAAGTTGAGTCGATGTACAGCGAATAAAAAACATGCTTCTACAGCATTTTGCTCCTTCTCCGGAAACGGTAAACCCTACAAGGTGAGGTTGTGATTTATGAGATAAGACGTATGGAGTAAATTATTGGTTAAAATTAGATCTGAATGCCATTAAACTATTTTCCACGTAGAATTATGCTAGACACTGACAAAATCAATATACAAACCTGCATACAAGTGTGTCTGTTTCAGTTATCCCACTTCACAACGACTGGATAGAAAAAAACTTATTTCAAAGTACACAAAAGTGTATACGAGGAGAAACAATTTGGAGATAGTAAATATTCAAGCTTTAGAAGACATCAAAGAGTGAATACACTTATGCCATTGGAACAGATTTTCAGCAACTTCACTAAGAGTCTCAAACCACTAATTCGTAAGGCCTCTGGGGCCCTACCCAGGTAGTCTTAGACCAACAGTTGATCTTCATACACTGGTGCTACGTTTGCACCTAGCCACTCTAAAACGTCTTTCCTCATGCCCGTCGAAGTAGGCAGTGCTTTGGCAGGCGCAACAGATGTCCAAGCCATCTCAGTCACTGAAGATTCACAACCTCAACGACCGCTATCCCGCTTTACCTGGTACCCTTCCCCTAACTTCAACATGGCTAATATGGTGATTCCTCCATATGCGAGCAATACTATGAAGAAACCAGTGATCAAAACCAAGTATTCGCTTCATTTCTTTTGCTCTTAACGGCTATTTTTGCAGCTATATAACAGGACAGAACGAACTGCAGCCCAGTAAACTCATCGTGTGATAGATAGTCGGATATTTAGCCAGTCATCAGCATAGATGACGCAAGTTGGCAAATGCCAAACGGGCCTTCTGTTTCCCAGATGAGATTTCGTCAGCAACCAATCCATCCGGATTAGTGCAACTCAACAAGTAAGTCAAGTGGTCAACATATTCCACAACTTCACTCCCATTCATTAAACCAGAAGTAGATGCAGACCCATGAAATGAAGCATCATATTAATTGGACAGGTGTGAAATGCAGCCAACCACACTCAGATTTCTGCTCAAAGTGTTCAAAAGATCCTGTATTTTGTCAGCGTCTACACCTTACAGAACAATGTCATCTGTGTACTCAAAGTCAACCAGATGGGGTAGCTCGATCCATGTGAAGTTAGACGTACTTAAGTTTATGCATATTAGTGCATATTAGTAGGTATCCCAGCCAGAGGCCGAAAATTTGAATGACAGCTCTCCACAAGCACATACACAGCTGTCTCGATTCGAGTAAAGACCTTTAATTGGCGTTATAGACTTTTTTGGTACTCACTTTGCAGCCGCAACACCTTACAGCCGACAGAGTCAAGAAATAAGGCAAGTGTCGATTGCCGGTAATTACGTCAGTGATCTGAAACCTGTCACAGGGTGGAAATCTGGCCGATACACTGTCATCCTGCTCTGTCTGAAACCTCTCTGGTTTTATCGAGTTTACTGTTCTCATGGTCCAGTTAGGTATGACATAACTATAGACCCTAGGATCTTGGACACAGTATCAGTCAAATTAATTCCCTATGGTTGTCACAGGAAGATTTCTCACCCTTCTGATACACCGCAGTGGTCAGTGAAGTCAACCAGCCCAACTAGGCTGCTTCCGATTCTCACTTTAATTAGCAATTTTCTACATCCATCCTTGAAAGTTTTCAGTGACAAACTGTCAGGTCCTGTTGGTTTGCATCGTTTCAAATTCGAAGCAACCTTCTCAACTGCAAAGAGATTTGGTGGATCGACATCTATATCCTATTCAGGTTCAGGTTCGATGTTAGGTAACCGAAGCGTGGTTATAGGCTAGTTGAACTGGGCTTCAAACTGTTCTGACCAACGTTCCAGTCGTCTGTCCTGAGAGGTTATCAGAGTCCTATTCTTTTCAGTGAAGGTTTCATTAACCATCGTCTTTTTCTTGCTGATAGCCTTATAATAAGCCTAAATGGTTGCCGAGTGTAGCCCAACACTGATACCTTCTCCATCTCTCTCGCCACCCAACACTGCTCACTATCATTGTGAAGAATCTTGGTCAATTTACATTTAAATTCCTTTCCCACTTCATTGTGGTCACAGCCAGTTGGAATCAGTCTCCTCACATCAGTCAGTTCGAATGACTTTGTGGAAATCCAATGACGTCTTCTAACCTTCTGGAATATCTTAACAACTGTCTTTACTGCTGTTTTTATAGGAGAATTAATATGGTACCGGGTTTCGTCAAGATGTGCATTGCTGTCATGTTTGGATGAATGTTTAGTTAACTCCTCCATAAACACGTATTCGATGTCCACGTCTTCCAATCTAGCATAGACAGGCTTCATTATCGCCTGTTTCCTGCAACCAGTAAAACACAGACATAAACATGCCTATACACCAACACGTGGTTGGAGTTCAAACAGGTACTCTAGAAAGAGCGGCAATCCTCCTCCAGTCCTTTCCAACGATGCCTTATAGCAAAATAATCTATCTGTGCCCATCGTCGACTCGATGTTGGGGGATACCATGTGCTTGAAATTACTGCTAGTCAAAAACAAATGATTATCTCAACAAAACTGCAGCAGACGATCACCGTTGTCAGCTCGTTGTTATGGGATTCCCTAGATAACTCTCAGATGCCTTTCTGATTAGTTCAGCTCAGCTTCCCTACTTGAGCGTTAAAGTCACCTACCATTGTGACTACATCTAAACGTTTTGCTTTCTGTAGGGGAGTTGACAGATTCTCATAGAATTCATCCTTTGCATCATCCGAACTGCAGTCGGTGGGTGCGTAAGCGGAGATTACAAATAGGCATCAGTTGGGTTCACGATCCTACATAGTTTTTAAAGATCCATTCAGTCGGATAGTATATAGATGTCTGTTTACCGGAATCCAGTCGAGGAGTGCATTATCAGCCCTACAACTTAGTGTTATGCCTGCACCAGCGAGTTCATGAGAGCTAGTCACTGAGTCTCCGGAAACTCGTAAGACGAATTTTGAAGATTCCCCGCAATTGCTGAATGAATAACCACACTTGGGTCCTGTATACATGTCTGAGAAACATAGCATACATCCATGGCTCGAGAATCCAAAGTTTTGGGCGGGTGATGCCTGCTGTCCGATTTAGTATAGAGGTCGGATGTTGAAAGCTCCAATATGAAATCGACAGCAAGGTCTTAGGAGACTAGAAATGGTGTTTCGATGGCTTGGATCGTTGGGAATGGTAGCAGAGCAAAATTTTGAAGAAATCATGAGAGGTGTAATTATGATTTGAGGAGGTGAAGGCATAAGAACAGACAGAGGAGAAGTACGTTCATTAGCAGCTATATCCGGAGGTGAGACTGTTGTCGGCCTAGCTTTGAATAACACACCGGTCATCATCAGTATAACTTCAGAGGTGATTAACTTTGACTTCACATGAAGATTTATGCTGCATCAGAAGGAGTTGGAATTAATCACTTTCTACGAAGTAGCGATTAAAATGGCTAGTATATAATTGGAAGCTTTGCAACTCACAACTTGAAAACAGATCATATTTCTATTTGAACATTTGTTTAGTGAACTGTAAGTATTTAAAATTACTCAGGACTACCTACTGATCCAAAAAAAATATACTGATCATCATTTCTTTGGAATAAAGTAAACTAGTATGTTATAACAGTTGAATAAAATCAGACAACAGTAAATATTCCAGTTTCAATTACTAAGTCCAAGTTTGGGGTGCATTTTGTAAACTTCCATAATAAGGTGAAACACGAATGTGCACTTACTTATTGACAATTTACAAACAGTTAAATCATGACAAGTAAGCAACATAGAATGACAAACAAATGTATCATGAATAGAATTATGCAGTAACATTCAAATAAATGGTAAGTAAACGCTAAAAACAAACTACACCATACCGTGCTTTCTCCAAAACCAGGATGATTCCATCCTAAAACTGAATAGCCTTGTTCAAGTGGGACCAAGGGTGTTCCAATCTCAGGATATCCACCATTACCTTCACAACAAAGTATCTACAAAGAATAATTTAGGACCAGTGAAGAAAGGAAAGTCACCACAGAAAAAGACTATCAGAGTATATATATACATGGTATATAATGTAGAATAGATTCCAGCTACTTTTCCAACAATATACAGATACAATGTTTTCTAAGTCCATGTACGTAAACTATTTGGTAACAAAATATTGGTACATGTTCTAGTTGTTGTAACTTACTCACATTCTAGTCGAACATTCATCCAGTTATCATCCTAAGAGTAGCTTCACCCAAAGATTATTTTGCAAGCCTCAAAATCAAAACATGATTCGCACTATACTATGTAAGATGAAAGCAGAAGAATAGTAAACATCTTGGAGTCACTATTTCTACACTCTTATTAGAATAATGCATCGCCTTACACTTTATAAAATTCATCTAGAATTTTTAAAAAAAAACATCAGTAGACAATTTCAGATGGAACAGCTAATGTCGAAAGTTGATAAATCACTGCATTTCGAAAGTAGGAAACCATAACACACATCAAATAGTATTTTTTACATACGACCGAACAATACAAGTAGTGAACAAAAATAGTCAAACACTATCTTACCAAAACTTCTCCTTTGGAATCCCCATTAGCAACTGAGGCAGATTCTGATGAAATTCGATTCGATCCTCGACGGTCAGCATAAAATGCTTCAACAAATTCACCATCTCTGGTTGAAAAGCCAACTCTTCGAATATCATACTAAATAATGTTTAGATATATAAGAGTAATGACTTCAGACATAAAAAACAAACATAAAGGAACTAAAATGGTATATGAAGTTCAAATTTACTGTTACGAATGATATAACATTGTGTTAATAACTTTATAGAATAAAAACTGTGATAATAAAACAAACCATAAACGCTATTCTTTCTTCTGAATCTTTAGTTTGAACTATGTTGACAGAAGGATACTTAAAAGCAGCCTGTGGATCTCGGCTTCATTTTTATCCAGACAGTATGGCAAATCAGCAACCTTATACAGACTTATGCAATAAGGCATGACCCGCAACTATAGTATGATGACTAATGATACTACCTATCTACTTGAACCAAGTTAAACCTCGAAGACTTGAGCCAGTGAAACAACTTTTGGACTCAATGCACCTATAATACTCCAAGTTGTTTCACAATTCTGATTTGATCTTTGGAATAACAAGGCTCTGGTTGGATAATTTAACAGGAACAAATTTCCGCCGTAGATAAAGGTATGAGATACAGTCCGTAAGCGCTTTTAAACTTTAATTTTGATAATGTGCGTTCAACCAGCTGATAAGTAACGTTAGGTACAAGACTGACGTCCTAGAGGTCCGGCCTATTATCTATGCTCCTATAATCCAAGTAGCAGCTCTTATTTGCCGAATGGTGGGGTAGAGCCCCACTAAACCCATTTGTAATCGATCAATCAGCTACTACGAGATGCCCAAACAACGTACATACCTCGCAAAGAGATAAAGGAATGTATGCATAGTTCCACTGATTACCTCCATTACACTAAGGCCGGTAGCATCATATACTTTTCTGTCCACAGATTAACAACAAAGGTACACCAATCTGAACTAAGCTTAGTTTGAATTTCCTTACTTTCATCAAAAATCAAATAGTTTGTATGGATAAAAGTAATGTTTTCTGGATGCTCACTTCATTTGCTTCAGCAATTGACTTCCAAGCAATGGATATCGCCCCACCTGGGAAGTCGGATGGCATAAAAAGCCCTGACACTTTAAGTGCAGCTCATGACCTAGTACATAAATTCTTGTATCTGGTTGAGATCGATTGCGATGCTTCGTTTTTTTATGAATACCTTTTTGCTTGAGTCGGAGACTCCAAAGAGTTTAACCACTTTGCTCTCTATTTTCAGACGAACCATCAATGCAGACCAGTCATAAAGCAACAATTTGCACTAAGGTCGTAAAAAAAGGCACCCGAGCATTTTAAAATTGCCACTCAGTGTTCAGGAGTGCCATTTGCATAATTTAAGTCTACTAAAGAGACTCGTACAACAAGGTCAATCTCGGAATTCAGATGACAAGGAGACCTCCTTAAGTACGTCTATGATAAAATTAAATAAGGATGGAGAGGGTGCGGGTCCTTCATAGACACCACTCGACGTACACAACTCACTGCAGGCTTCAACTCACCTATATGTGTTCGAGCACACAGCCCTTAACAAGGTGATGTACTTACTTGGTATCCGTTTCAGTGAGAGGCACTGCCATAAAACGTCTCGATCGACAGCGTTAAATACCGCCTTCAAGTTGAGCAACACGGCCAGAGTCAGGCATCGGTGAGCGTGCCTATAGAGAGTAAGTGTCTGGTCCACACATCTGCAACAAGGTTTGAAACTTGTCTGGTTTTCTCCGATTTGTTGTATTCTAGCTCCACTTAGACGCCTAATAATTATAGGACCTAGAATTTTAAACATTATATCCGTCAAACTGACTCCTTTGTGGTTATCACAATGGGACTTCTCACTTTTCTTGGAGCCTAGAACAGTCTGGTTGCGGATAATCAGAGGAAACCACATCTGACTCCCATACACTAAGACTTCAGTTGACATAACCAATACTAACCACCGTCCTTAAATATCCCCAGTTCCAGTCCGTCTGGTCCTGCATATCTTCCTAATTGTTTCATATTATTATTATTATTATTATTAGTCCCTTGGGTTCCTAATGGAATATAGGGCTTCAGTAGCACATCTCCAGTGAGCTCTGTTCTCTGAAATCTTTTCAACCTGGCTCCACGACAGACCACAAGCTCTCATTTTCTCCTCGCACGATCTCCTCCATGTCACCCTCAGCTAGGACGTCCAACTCGTCGCTTCCTATGGGGATTCCACTCGAAGGCCTGGCCTGACGCGTGTTGTCCACAGTCGGCTTTCTCAGTGTATGCTCAATCCATCTCCACTTCCTTCCAATGCATATTTGTTGAGCGATAGGTTCTTGGCTGGTTCGTTCCCAGAGCTCCTCGCTGCTTATTCTTTCTGGCCATCTGATCTTCAGTAGAGAGCGTATGCACTTGTTGATGAATGTCTGTAGTTTATTGGAAATCCCTTTCGTAACGCGCCTAGTCTCTGAGCCATACACAAGCACTGACTTGACTGAAGTTGGTGTTGAAAATCCGGATGTTGTTCCACATGCTGAGTGGAGTGCAGAAGATCTCCACACTGGTTTCAGGCTAATGAACTCCTGTCTTGTTGTCCTTCCGATCCTGACTTTGACATCCTCGTCTGTGCCGCCACCTGTAGCTGAAACAATGCTGCCTAGATAGGTGAAGGAGGTTACTTCCTTTAACTTTCTCCCGTTCATGGTGACTGGAGTTTGTTGTTGTTGTTCGTGTGGTATCTTCATTACCTCAGTCTTCTCTATATTCACTTGAAGTCCCATCTTCCCTGCCTCTCCTCTTCTACCAACTTGTTAGTTTTCGCCTGTAGATCTTCCAGTTTGTGTGACATCAGACACAAGTCATCGACGAAATCCAAGTCTTCTAGGCTCTTTTCATCGGTCCAACCAGCGTATCCCCCTCTTCTCACAGCTCCCCACTGTTGTCTGCTGCATGATCCAGTCGATCACAACACAATCAGGAATATCATGGGTGATAGTAGGCAACCTTGTTTCACTCCTGTCTTCACTTCACTTCAAAAGCATCACTGAGCTTCCCATTGTGAATTACTTGGCATGTGGCGTCTTCATATAATTGTTGAATGAGGCTGATAAGGGTTTCTGGTATTCCGTAGTATTCAAGCAACTGTCAAATTACTTGTCGGTCGACGCTGTTATAGGCCTTCTCAGAGTCGATGAAGTTGAGGTAGAGATCCAGTTGACTACCATCCTATACTCTGTTCTATGATGATGCATAGCGTATCGTTGCAAGTTGGTCCACTTATGATTTGTACTTCCTGAAGCCTGCCTGTTCCGGTCGTAATTTTGAATCCAGTGCATCCTTTAGTCACTCTAAGATGATACTGCTTAATATTGTTTGAGCTACGTGGACAGGAGAGTGATTCCGCGCCAGTTATTAAAAACACTGACGTCTCCCTTCTTCGGCAGTTTGACAAGGTAACCCTTCTTCCAATCGACAGCCAGGTACCTTCTCTTCCTTCCACACCTTCTGCAATAGTTGTGTGGTATGAGCATGTCCGCTGTTGTCCCTGCGCCTGTTCTCAGTGCCTCTGGTGGGATTCCATCTTCTCCTGCTGCTTTCTCGCATTTCAGTAGCCTTATGGCACTCAGGACTTCGACTTTCGTAGGAGGGCTTATGTTCACTTGTAGTTCTGTGGCTGGGCTGTAGATGGTAGTTCTTCACGAAGTACAGGTGGTGGTCGATTCAAGAGCTTTTTGAAGTGGCCAGCCCATCGTTTCCTTTGTTTTTCCCTTCTTTCGTAATTAAATTTCCTTCTTCATCTTTTACTGGTTTCGTGTGTGTTGATCTCTTCACTCCCAGATATTAACCTGGTTATTCGATATAGTGTTGTCAGGTCTCTGTCTCTCCTAGCTGCAGCCTGTTCTGCTTCACTTGCCAGTGTGTGTGTGGTAGAAGTGACTTTTGTCTTTCCGTGCACTCTTCTTCACTTCTTTGTCCAGTGTCTCATACATTGTACTCAGTTCCTCTTGTCGTTGAGCATCCTTGCACTGGTTTATCTTCTGCTTCACCATCCTCCTCTGCCTCCTCTATCAGCTTCCATGTATCCGTCAAGATCCATTCCTTATCTTCTCTCTTCTTCCTTCCTAATACGGTTAGGTAGGTTTCTTTCCACATAGCTTTCAAAGACTTCCAGTGTTCTTCCACACAGGTTTCTTCAGGGATGTTCCTCGATATATCCCATTTTGTCTTGATGGCTGAAGTGAAGATGTCCATTGTAGTTTCGTCCTTCAGTTCTCGAGTGTTGTACTTGAACTGTGGTCTATTACCAACTTCCTTGAAGGCTTTCAATTTGATTTTGAGGGTAGGTTCCTTGCACTAGACAGTGAGTGGTCTGAGCCTAAATCTGCTCATTTCTCTTCTTGATCTGATCTCGTGTTCAGTAGACTGCATCTCCACTTTCTTCACATTGAGATGAAGTCGATCTGATTTTTAGTGTAGTGTGTCCTGGTATCTGGTGAAATCAAATCCATGTGGCTTTGAGAATATCCTTGTGCTTGTACACACTGTCTGACTCCAATCACCAAATCGTTGAATGCATAGAATTCTGCAAACAATTCTCCGTTCTCGTTCATCACCTCACCGAGCGCTTCTCGACCCATGGTTAGTTCTCTTCCTGTGTTGTCCCCTCCCAGTTTCGCATTCATGTCGCCCCACCCATTAGAATTTTGATATCGCCAACTGAGGTGGGATCATGTCCATTGTTGAATGCAGTTGTCTGTAATATTCCTCCTTCTTCTGTTGGTCTGCATTATTTGTAGGTGCATAGCATTGTATGATTGTGACCTTCCTTCATTTTGAGTTGAATCTTGCTGTCATGATCCTGGAGGAGGAGATTGGTTCCCACTGCATGAGAGCCTTCGATGCTGTTGGAGACATCATGATAGCCACTCGGTAACTCAGTGTGCTCGTGGTTGTCGTATGGATGACAATATTGGAGTAGATTATTGATTCTCCAGTTGACAGTTTGGAGAGTCCACTCCCATTCCATCTGCTTTCGCAAATTCCAAGCACCTCAATGTGATACCTTCTCATCTCCTTTGCAATCTGGGCAGCCTTGCTGGGTTCAAACATCGTGCGGACATTCCATGTCCCGACGTTTACTTTCGCTTTCATCAAGAGAGGTGAAGGTACATTGGCCAATTGGCTTCCTGAAGGCTTTCACCAACTGGCGTCATTTCGCCTCTCCGATTCCAGTGAGGAATAATTTTGTTATTATTTTTTATATACCGTTTGTGCTTTGAAGTTTCTTTAGCGGTTAGATTTGTTTTGTGGGGTAGGGTTGCTAGCCCTATGCCCAACCTTCCCTCTTTACCCGGGCTTACGACCGGCTAGTAACTAGCGAACTAGTTAACCAGGCGAGGCTGTTTCATATTACTAACAGCTTTCTAAACTTTTGCGGGTGTTGCAAGCCATATTTCAAAGTCTCAGTCGGCATCCGAATGAATAGAGGACAACAGATTAGCAGGTAGAAGCCAGTTGGAATTTTCGTCGAAGTGTTCCACTAAGCGTTCCAGTTGTCTTCTATGAGAGTGAATCGCAGACCCATCCTTTTCCGTTATTGTCTCACTAACTACTGGGCCTCACGCCTCAGGTCCCTAATGAGCCTAAGTCTAAATACCTGTCTCCTGCTACCTGTAGCCGCTGAGTTCTCCAGTTCTTTAGCCTTCGCTGCCCATTACTGTCTGTAGTCACTGCGTAGACTCTTTGTCAATCTACGTTTTAGCTGCAATCGCTCCTCACTGCACTCAGAGCCTGCAGGGGTGCGTTCGCGTGCATCCATTGATTCAGAAGAAGCTGCTGAAAGTCATTAGCTCTTTTTAACCACTAAAAGTCGGCTACGGTCCTTAGGGCTGTTTATATACCAGACTGAAGATGGTGCCAAACTTCTTCCGGATGAGTGATACTGTTTATTTCTGATAACTATCGAACCAGATGCTCACTGAAAGTTGCCTTAGTACTCTCACTGTCGAGCTGCATTTTCAGAGGTCTTTCTACGTCCATTCAAACGTAGATATACACGCGCTGAAAACAAAGTGTGGTCGCTGTCCAAACACATCCCACAAGCAGCAGGAGTCGCTCACCGACCCTTTCTAACGATAACTGATAGAATTATGGTCTATATGTGTCCACCTGTGTTGACGTCAGTGGATGCCATATTAAACAATGTCTCTTTTCATATCTGAAGTTCGTACTGGCTAGAAATAGGTGGTCGTCTGAGCACAGTTATAGCAGGTGATCACCGTTATCTGTTCGTTCGGCTGGAATTCTTAGTGTGCCACCTAAGTGCCTTTCTGACTTAGCCTACTCACATGTGCATTGAGATCGCCCGCTATGACAAGCACGTCTGAAGGTTTGGCTTTCAATAGGAGGCTAGAGTTTTCGGTAGAATTCATCCTCCACTTCATCCGAACTCCAGTTAGTGTGTGTAAGACAATAACCATAAAAACGTCAGTTTTACTGTACTTTTTCGTCCACATTGTACTGCTCAGTCGAACATCGCACAAGTCACTCTCAACCAGTATACAACCACCAAGCAGTGAGTTGTTGACTTTTAAACTTAATGCTGTGCGTACAACTGCAAGATTAAGAAAACCAGTTATCGAATTTGTAGACATTCGAGTAGTGAATGTTGTGGATTCACAAGACAAGATGATGTTATGCAGACCGCTACACTTGTATGCGTGTCTCACAATTACAGTGCACGTCCATCCCATGAGATGCCAGAGTTTTCACTACCGAAGCTTGTTGTTCTATTTGACGGAAGGTGTAACATTGGGAGCTTCAAAGATGGTTTAAGAAAAACAAGGCTGTTGTTCGGCAAGCCCAAATTGTTATCTAGGGCTGCAGGGTTAGAATAAATTGAAGATGATGTAAGGATATTAACCTAGAGATGTAAGGAAAGACTAAGGGCAAAAAGTGTGGAAGGTTAGTATTGATAAGAGACAACTTGAGTGGTGAGAGGATTTGAAGGCATTTGACATTTCTTGTTGTTCTTCTTTCATTCTGGTTATCAACTACTTCTTGAACTGAGTAAAAGTTGCAGAAAATACGTTAATTTCATATTCCTAACTCGATCGGATAGTAAGTAGCTGAAGAGTGGTTAAACTATGTGTCTGTACATGAATGAGCACAGGAAAAAACAGCTAAATGCTTCTCCGCTTCCAGTTTGAGGTTGAGACAATTCATTCTGTATCTAGATAAGCAGTAAAAAAGCACTTATTTGAATAAAGTAGTGATCTGCATCCTAATATAGCCCAATAAAAGTGCAATTTTTCATGGAAATTTAATGGTGGAGATAGTTAGTATCAGATAACCAAGGATTGGTAAGGGTTAGTGAGTCACTGGGTATGTGGAACTTAGTATAAACTGATTGATATGAGAAGAATTATTTAGGCTCTAAACACAACTAAGCTTCTATCACACTGCTACTTTACCAAAATTAATCGTTAAGATGAATACCTGGAATTTCAGATGGCGGCTTTATCATTGAAGCTAAGTGTTAACAAAATAGTTGTAGGTACAGTGCTTGGCTGAATTCGATTTACAGCTATTTCAATTTAAAGGTAAACGTGTGAATAAGAAGTTGATGAAAGAAACGTAATTACGATTGAAGCTTACCTGTCGCCGTAGTCTGTCACGTGCATCCAATCGAGCATTAACTAATGCAAAGTAAAAACATAAGAGGGTTTATTAAAAGTAGCGAGTAAACAAATGATTATCTTCATAAAATTTTAACGTGTATACGAGTGCATGAAAAATGTTCTATTCATGAACCGTTAGAACTAAGCACCAATCCAAAGGATTACTGATAGTCAGTCTGCGTCGTCCAACAAAGTGCTACGCGATGAAAGCATCCAGCTTAGAGAACACAATACCATTAAAAGCGCAAATAACCTGGAAGATTTTGACATTGTTTAAGACCTACCTAACCTCGCCTAGGTAACTAGTTTAATAGTTACTAGCTGGTCCAAAGCCCGGATAAAGAGGGCTAGCAACCCTACCTCGTATAACCAATCTAACCGCTAAACAAACTTCAAAGCACAAGGAAAGTATAAAATATAAAATGAAACTTATTCCTTGCTGGAATCGAAGAGACGAAATCACACCAGTTGGTGAAAGCCTTCGCGAAGCCAATTGGCCGATGTGTCTCCTCTAACTCAATGAAAACAAAAGTAAGGATGGGGAAATTGAATGTCCGCACCATGTATGAACCTACCAAGTCTGCCCAGATTGTAAAAGAGATAAGGAGGTATAGCATGGAAGTTCCAGACTGGGAATATGAGAAAGCAGATAAAATGCAAGTGGACTCTCCAAACTGTCAACTGCACAGTCAATAATCTACTCAAACGAGAACCATGAGCGGCTATCATGATGTCCCACGCTCAAGAGCATCAAACGCTCTCTCTCTCTCTCTCTCTCTCTGGCAGTGGGAACCAATCTCTTCCTGCAGGATCAGAAACATGACAGCAAGAGTCAACTCAAAAGGAAGGAAACTCACAATCATACAATGCTATGCTACGCTACGCTATGCACCTACAAATAATGCAGACCAACAGAAGAAGGAGGAATATTACAGACAACTGCATTCAACAATGGACAAGACCCCACCTCAGTTGGTGACATCAAAATTCTAATGGGTAGGGTGACATGAATGCCAAACTGGGAGCAGATAACATAGGAAGAGAACGAATCATGAGTCGAGAAGCACTAGGTGAAATGATGAATGAGAATGGAGAACTGTTTGCAGAATTCTGTGCATTCAACGATTTGGTGATTGCAGTCAGACAGTGTGTACAAGCACAAGGATATTCTCAAAGCCACCAGATACCAGGACACACTACACTAAAAATCAGATCGACTTCATCTCAATCTCAAGAAAGTGGAAATGCAGTCTACTGAATACGAGATCAGATCAAGAAGAGAGATGAGCAGATCTAGGTTCACACCACTCACTGTCTAGTTCAAACAACCCACCTTCAAAATCAAGTTGAAGCTTTCGAAGAAGAAGCTGGTGATAGACCACAGTTCAAGTTCAACAAGCATATAGAACAGAAACTGAACTGAAGGATGGAACTACAAGGGACATCTTCAAATCAGTCATCAGAACAAAATAGGAGACATTAGGCAACATGCCTGAAGAAACCTGAGTGGAAGAACACTGGAACTCTTTGAAAGAGATGTGGAGGGAAACCTGCATAACCGCGTTAGGGAGGACGAAGAAAGAAGACAAGGAATGGATCTCGACGGATCTCCACATAGAAGCTGATAGAGCAGGAAGTGGAAGATGGTGAAGCAGAAGATGAACCAGTGCAGTGCAGTACTGTGCAAGGGTGAACAACGAAAAGAGGAACTGAACACAACCTATAAAACACTACACTAGACAAAGAAGTGAAGAAGAGTACACGGAAAGACAAAAGACACTTTTACCACACACACACTGGCAAGTGAAGCAGAACAGGCTGCAGCTAGGAGAGACAGAGACCTGACAACACTATATCGAATAACCAAGTTAATATCTAGGAGGGAAGAGATCAACGCAGATGCAACCAGTGAAAGATAGTGAAGGAAACTTAGTCACCACCAAAGAGGAGAAACAAAGAAATACTGAAAACCTGGAAGCACTTGACAGCTGCTTTGTCCTAGCCAATGACTTCTCAGTAGTGCACCATCACAACATTGTGAGGGATCGAATTCGGAACTGTCAATTCTGACGGTGAGCAGGTTACCACTCAGTTACTGAGTTGGAATTCAACAGACCACATTTTCCTATTTTGGTAAACCATGGTATAGTGCGAACATCACTCAATGGCATCGGAAAGCACTTGTTTTCATACTTGACTTGGTTAATCCAACTTCGGGAATTTCATTTCGAATCAAGTCGCTAGTGAGCAATCGATTGACCTCAAGAGGTTTTCACCACTGACTGATATCAGCCAAACAATCGTTTAAGACTTAAAAGCACTTGACAGCTGCTTCACCCTAGCTAGTTGGTAACGTGATTGCCTTGACACCTGATGCTTCTGGGATCTACCCCTTGCAAGGTAGCAGATGTCCAGTTCTGAGCAGTTTTAAAACTAGAACAAAATAGCTGTCCAAGTTTTAATGGTTCTCCAATTGATGTTAGTTTGTGATGAATATCCTTTGAAATATGGGAAGAGCTAGGTGCCGGTAAGTATGACGATGTCCCAAAACTCGTTGAAGGGAAAAATTTTGACCACAAAAGAACCCCCTTAAGTACTGTGACCTGCCTAGTTTTCTCGAGCTCCATTTAGGAATTATATGACTGTGTAGCTTAGAATATTAAACGCGGTTTTTCACAGAAAGACTCTTGATCAGATTGATCAACGACCTAAACTAGTATGGTAGCATTACCTCACCTCAGTCAATACTAATCAGTAATTTTGCACATTCACCTTTAAACACTTCTGGAAGCAACCACCGGGTCCCATTGTTTCTGTATCTTTTTAGTTTTAAAACGGCCTTCTTACATTCTGTGGAAGTTGGAGGATTGACATTTACATTTAATTATGGTTCAAGTTGAGTGTTGCGTAAGTGAAACAAGACTGTAGATCAAGTAATCTGTTTTTCAAGATGTTCCACCCAACCAAGCAATCGCATGTCCTGAGAGGCATCCATTGACATATTCTCTCCGGTGAGCTTTACGGGCTATCGTCTTTTCCCTATCTTTTAAACTAATTCAGCTGCATTCGAAATCAAATGTCAGAGCAAGAAATGATTCAGTGTACATAGAACATACCACAATTATCGTATTCGACGATAGTTAAAAGGCATGCAGCATCATATCGTGCTTAAAAGTTGCAAAATGTGAGTCAAACTTTGCTATTTTTGCTGGAACCACTCAAAATACGTTGAATACCTTTTACTTAATAGAATAATACCATTTTTGTACCACAGATTAATCATGCAATCTTTAAGTAGAAGACTAAGTGGTAAGAAGTTGGAGTTATAAATTTGCAGTAAAATTAGGTAAGTGGAGCTATAATTAATTGTTGTTACCATAGATGGTAACTCTTCATAATCTCTTACATAACCACAGTGTTTCGAATACATAGCCTTTGAAAACATAATAAACTTGCCGAACGCTTCCTTCCAAGGCGAGATATATAAGCTGTTTAATTCAGAACTAGGGTATTCAAGTCAGTATTGAAACCCAAACATATTTTACCAAACAATATGGAGATGAAAATGCTTAAAAATTAAGGTTGTGACAAAGGTAACTTGTATGATGCGAGTCTCCAACACCGTGATAAAAGTACACATAATAACACATAGTAAAGAAAATATTCAGGGAATACGACAATACACTTACAAGTAAGGGAGTTTAAAATCCCTGTACAACCAATATATGCCATACGAACACCAATAGTATGTGCGATGATCCAACTGCGAATGTGAATTGAGAGGGATATGTAAAAAGATTTTCTAAATTCCGGTGAAACATGATAAGAAACTTAAAGCTAGAAACACAAAACAATCTTTACTGATATCGAAATTCTACTACAGTCACTAGTAGCCAAATGAAACACCCATATTTGTGACTGATACTCAAAAAAAGTGAAAAATAAAGAAAAAGCATATATATATATATATATATATATATATATATATATATATATAATGCTTATTTTATCGTATTACCAAGATTGTCTTCAAATCTTATCTTTTTTTCCTCGCATTATTTTTTCTCATTATTGAATTCCTTTACGTCATATTTATCCTTCCCTCACTTCCAGTTTTCATAAATAATGCCTTAACAAGTAAATATGCGATCAGACTGTTTGAAATGTATAGCCCTAA